CGCAAAATAGAACATTTTAGATTATAAAAATTTGTGTTCGACCATCCCAAGATATATTAAATTAAAATGACATGTTATGCAGGGAAGCAGCAGCTCAACAAGACGTGGCAGATTAATTTTCTATCGATCAAGTAAACAATTGATGTATTACTTATTTCAGAGCCACATATGCATATTTTACAAAAAGCAACGTACCAAAATCTTCTTCACTGATGGGTGAAACTCTATCCCAAAGAACCTTACAATGGCAAAAAAATATATACGTTAAGTTAAGTACAAGTTAAGTTAAGTTAAGTGTTTTAACTAAAAGCAGACATCCCAAACAATATACTCCCACATCAGTATGTCAGTAAGTGTATACGTACGTATATACTGTAAGTAATAGTTTAATTTGATTGTTGTTGTTTTTAAATTTCTTGCTGAAACTGGTCCCATTGATCACATTCTCTCTGTATGGAAATGAACACATCGTAGGTACCATTTTGGTTAAATGACGCTACAGGCGCCATAACTGAATGCCGAACCAGCTGAGCTGTGTGGCTGTGAGTTGGTGGCGTGATACTGCATGACTGTCACAGAAGGGGCTTATAGCGGGCCGTGAACACGACGTTCTGCTGCATGTATCTGCATCGCCACAGCTTCCCGAAAACGGTGTGAAGACTGGATGTACGGAGCCACAGCTCCCCGTGTTGCGCCTCTCTGCTGTGTGTCAGGCTCTGTCCGCACACACACCTGGCTGTTTACTCGCCCGTGGTATTTGCTGTGTGAGTCTGCCTTCTGAACAAATCTATGTGAGCGTGTCTGGGTGAAGATAATAGTTTGTGCATCTGTCTTTGTATAATTGTAGTTTTTGGACCTCGTCAGTACACAATGCTGGTGTCGTGTGTTTGATGTTGCTGGTAGATTTCGTGCAGCTGTCATGCATCCCTCGCTCTCGTATTCCTGTTTGCTCAAATATGGGCCGGTGGTGTCATCTGCAACATGACTGAAATATGCTTTGTCCGGCCGAGAGGATTCGACAATACAATGTTTGCTGAACAACAGCAGCAGCATTGGTAGCCTGCTCTCTGCTGACAGACGTATACTCACTTAGACATTTAGTTTGCATGATATTCTTCCATCATCCCTTTGTAGATTTGATCTCATGGAGGTAAAGTGAACCCGCCTTTTTAGATTGAAATACAGGTGCATCTTAAACATTTTAATGGTCTTCATTGTATGCATTGCATGTTAAAGCCTAATTTTACATACACAAATTACATTTTAGATTAAGTTGTTTCCATAGTCCTCGCGCTAACTAGCATCGTTGTTGTCTATTTCTAATGAACTAAACAGTTAAAAAGTAGTTTTATTCATATATATTCTATAAATAGATGATTTCAACCTTAACTACAGATATTGACAAAGAATTGAGTGGAAATATAATATTTGGATTAAGGTAATAATTAATTAGTAATTAATTAATAATAAGTAATAATTACTAAAGACAAGATATTTACACGCTAATAATGGGCTGAATAAACACAAAGATGGTAAATATACCTTAGTTGTTTCAAATATTATAATTAGTTTAAGCTTCTCTTTTATGTTGTACCATCTATTTACTCCACACTGTCTATTAAATAGTGATATGTGATGGAATTATAATTGTTTTTAAATGTATATGAACAATATATAATTACTCATTAAAATAGTTTTTATCTAAAAATCGCTGATTGTTCAACATTGTCTTGATTGTTGAATCAGTCACCGCCATATCAATTTATCAATATTCATTCTGAACTGTAATAAAGTTACTGTACATCAAGCCAATTCAATGCCTATTGATATGTGTAGGTGATTAATGTCACTGCCCACCTTATTGCCAGCCAATGAATCACAATGTAACTCTGCAATCTTGATAAGAGCCAAAAATCAATAAGAGCAAAGTCTGACAATACTGATGAACACGGCATTTTCTCTCATTCATCAACTTGGTTACTAATCAACACAGTTCTCCAATCAGTAGTGAAACAAAGAGCACGCAGAGCTGAAATTCATGAATATATTATGCGGCTGAGGTTTACTTTGGTGACATTTCAACTCTGCTGTGTACTTCAGTGTCAGCTCGCTCACACGCTCACACACACACGCACGTACACACATTCTCGCTTTTTCATGACTTCTGGGGATATTACATTGACTTACATTCATTTTCTGGTAGCATCCTCATCCTAAATGTAACCATACCCCAACCTGAAACCAAGTCCCCCCCCCGTTACATTATGCAGACACGCAAGTGTTCCCGTTCTGTCCCTAAATAAAGGCGAGTCTTTAAGACACGGCGACACACACACACACACACACACACACAAAGAAACACACTCAGAGACAGACGCGTGCTGTGACGTCTCACAAAGTCCCATCGGCTGAGAGTCAACAGAACCAAAACTATTATTAGCATTGATCTCTCTTGGTAAAATCTTCAGTTAAAACATAAATGTGTTTTGCCAGAGTTGGATGACTGCCAATATCCTGAAGTTTATTTTAATATTTTGTGATTATTTTATCTTTTTAATTCTTTCCACTGCAAAAAGTGGAGTGCAAAAAAAAAAAAACCTTTATTTGTTACACAGAAACCAGGGTCTTAAAAGGATTCCTTGTTTATTTCTCAAAACCCAAAAGATATTGAATTCCATCAAATCATTAATTTTGAGAGGCTGGACGCTTTGCTTGAAAAATTAACAAAATAAATTGATATATTATCATAGTTGCTTATTTAGTATTGAGTCATTATTCTCTAACTACAGATCCTCAACAAATTACATTAAAACAGATCAGTGATCAGTGATCTAGTCATCGCCGTACAGTCTAGTTGCTGTCGTACGTTGTAAACTGAGATGCAGTGGCTATTTACCAGAGTTTGTATTGAAGAAAGCTACAATGACCTCTGGTCTATTGATGGAAGTGTTCGCTTTGCCCGAAAACATTTCGGTCACCTTGGTTCAAGTCTGCTTTTGTGCCTTTTTTCAAAAGCCCAGCAGCTGCAAAAACCATCTCAGTCTCTTTATTGCACATTTCGTTCTCCCTGTTGGTGCCTGTAGCTCGTCACGCAGCATGCAGGCTCTTTAAGCCGGAGCATGTTTGCAGACATTTTTCTCCCATTTCTTTCCTTTTATTTAAATTGTTCATTCTACTAAAGAATCAGAAGGCCGGGGAGAGGAATTCATCCTCAGTTTCTTTCCTGAGCTCTCGAATATTCTTCCCTTTGAACTTTAAAGTTTTTTCCTATCCGAATAGCAGGTCCATGGACAGAGGATGTTGTACGCCGTACAGACTGTGAATCCCGTTCAGAAAAAAAATTGACAGCCCTTCGATCGGCAATTGAATAGGAAACACATTCTCATCATTAAATGCAAGGAATGTCTAACAGGTGAATGTTACTCTGAGCTGTGTCTCATATTCGTCCAGTTGCACATTATTAAAGGCAATGCAAAGTGAAAACTGGGTGCTGTGTTTATCCTTTGACCCTCAGTGTTAGAAATGGACAAGAAACCAAGGACGAGCTTATCGACTTCCTGCTCTCAGAGTCTCTGTTGACCTGATTTATTTGCATACTGTTTTTAATATTCACATGTTTGCTAAAGGATGTTCTTTGAGCACAGTGCTGTGTACAAATGGCAGCGATGGTCCACACCTTCTCTATCGCACATCCACAGTGGCTATTGCGAATGCGAATAAACCTGAAACCATGAAACAGAAGCACACGTATTGATCTCTGATGTTGTTGATGTGCCGTTAAGTGCATCTTTTATGTTTGGACATGAAGTGGTGTGTCATCCTGAGAGTCACTCATTCCCACTCATCGTGAATCGGGAAAGGTAGGACTTTCCGGTGATTTGTGAGGCTTCCTATTGAATATTCAGTGTAAAAGAGATAAAGAAAGGTCATTGTTGTCAACCTCCAGTATGTTTGTCTAGTTTTTACCTCTGTATTCATGTGCGCCTTTTAAACTCTGACAGAGAAATATCACCTTCAATAAACTCCAGATTTTCTGAACATTTCTGATGATGGAATAATATGATGGATGCACAGATGGTGTTGAGATTGCATCAAACGCACATGTTAGTGCTACTTTTCCATTGCACTCCTACACCAAAGTCTGTCGCCTGCAGCGATCGGCTGAACACACACGCAGACACGCACTTTACCGGCCGGTTCTTGTGATCGTTTGATGCACCAAACAACTTAAAGTCTACAGCGAAGAGGGAGTTTGTTAATCATCTATTCATGGTTAGGTCAGTGATTTATGTGGGAAACTTAGCTTAGCACGTCAGTCTGCTAACACGAAAAAGTCTACTTTGACCTTGACCAATACATTTTGTTTGAATTTGAAGCTGGTGAGTTCTGGCTATAGCAGCTTGTATCGCTACACTGCAACTCTCAACAGCGATCAGAGGGAAGCTCCATGGCTGCTTATATTATCTGCTAAAAAACATAATCACTGCTTAATCGTATTTTACCACTTACCCAGCCGGATGAGTACCTAGGCACTTGGGTATTCCTTATTGTTGAGAGCGCTGTGGGTATAAACTAAAGTATGATACAATTTAATATATTTTATCTGAATATGGCGCTAGATTGAACGTTTTTCTGTTTAGGCGGCAGTAATGCATGCTCTGTATCACACTCATTTGATTATTATGAGGAGCTTAGAGAATTGGAGCTGTTGGTCCTTCGCATTAGCACACAGATGAATTGGTTTTGGCACTTCCCTGCCACCTGCGTACCTTCAGATAAAAACATTGTAAATGCAAAAGTAGTTTCAGAAAACACTACGTGGGATCACGCGTCACACTTGGCCAGGGAGAATTTCCCAAGCAGGAGCTTCAAGACGCTTCTTGAGAAAAAGGATTTTTTGGCAGCTCCGGTCGCCCAGAAAGGGGTTATTTGAACTAACGTCTTCTTGTGTTCCCTGGCCCTAGTGCTTAGTTGACCTCTCTTTGCCTTTGCTTCCACAGATTACCAAGCAGCAGCTCCAGCAGACCAAGGATCGTTTCCAGGCCTTCCTCAATGGAGATACGCAGATTGTGGCAGATGAGGCATTCATCAACGCCGTGCAGAGCTTCAACGAGGTGCCGACAAACCACAACCACAGCAGCACATTTACAGAAATGTTGTTATCCAAAAGCAGGGACTTGATGCTTTCAAATTAACTGCTGGACATAAAACACATAATTTCTTTTGTGTGTGCTTTTTAGGGGGAGCTAAAAAAAATGTTGTTGTAAGTGCACAATATCCTCTGGACAGATTTCAAACCAGAAACAACCAGCTTTCAGTCTAAAAAAATCTTTTTTTAAAGCCCTTATTGGTTGTCGTGCTATTCAATGTGAAAATCCTTCCGTTCAGATGCCTGAGTGGTAAAATGGTGGCTGAAGCTTTTCACTGCACGGACTATGAGTCAGAGCATGTGGCTGACACAGCTATCTTCACCAAGCTCACTATTCAATCTGCAAATGAAAGAGTCGTTAATACCATGCATACAGTAGGAACGCCATAGCGGAATACGTTAAAAGCCAAATCCACGATTGAAAAAAGAAGGGCAGCCACTATGAATATCTGGACCATGAACCATCAGGAAAAACACATATAGACTGTGTGGAAGTTAATTACAGGATGACCTGCATGTGACAGTTAGTAGAGATTTGGTTTATTTTGTGATTTATTTATTTAATACACAGTATATATATGATTTAAAACATAATACTTACCTGACAATTAGTCTATACCTTTGAATGCTGTGAATTTTATTTTTGAATGCGACAATTGTTTTACGGTAATGATATTTATTGTTGGTCTTGTTTGTCACTACGAAGTCCTTAACAATGCTTTGTATTCTAACATACTTATCAAAAGGTTGTACTAAATGTTGTGGTGGGAGAATGTGAAACCATTGGATTAATCTGTTGTCTCCTCTGAGACACACTGTGCCGGTGTATCGGTCGTGTGCCACTGCACTGAAATGTTTCCGATCTGTGGTCACTGCTTTTTAGCCATAACGGACGCGAAGAACTAAGTGTGACTGTCAGAGCGACGAAGCAATCAGCACTGATTTTTACTCCACTTGATGCTGTGACAATGTAGCCTCGCCTGTCTCTGTCCCTGTTAGGCTGTCGCTAGCGAGAGACAGAATGCAGCTTTGAGTCACGGCTTTACATACATGCCACTGGTTTTTCTATTCCCAATTGACAAGAACAGTTTATTTTGCTGACAAAGACCGACATTCAGTGTGGGAGACAGAACGGTACAGAATAGCAGAAGAACTTTTATGAATGTGAAATTCTAGGTCTACAAAATCATTCTTTTTTTTTATAAAAGTGCTTCTTTTAATGTAGCGCTTTTACACCTGCAACCCTTGACCCTGTAGGTGTTCCTGAAGAGCGACCGCGTGGCTAAGATGGTCCAGAGTGGAGGCTTCTCGGCCAACGATTTCCGGGAAGTGTTCAAGAGGCACATCGAGAAGCGCGTCCGCAGCCTTCCGGAGATCGACGGCCTGAGCAAAGAGACGGTGCTCAGCTCCTGGATGGCCAAGTTCGACACCATCTACCGCGGCGACGAGGATCCGCGCAAGGCACAGCAACGCATGACGGCCAGCGCGGCCTCCGAGCTGATCCTCAGCAAGGACCAGCTGTACGAGATGTTCCAGAACATTCTCGGCATCAAAAAGTTTGAGCACCAGCTGCTTTATCAAGCCTGTCAGGTAAGATCTCGAGTCCATGTGAGACGTCTCGGTTCAGGGTTTCAATGTGTCGGTTGGCGGATATTATGATATAGTAACGTTGACTTTCTTTTCACTCTTAACACAATAAAATCATCTTTTCCCTAGTTAATGATATTTTTGATCTGGAGTGAATGGGTTAAGAGATGTGAAAATGGCTTGTTTAATGACTTACTTGTTCAATAGAAAATTCAATTTCAACTGTTTCAATTGTGAATTAGTTATTCATGAGGTTTAATCAAACTAAATAATGATTTGTTGGCTCCAGCTACTTTAAAGTCTGCATTCGCTGCATTTATATAGATCATTATACTTTGGATATACTGTCTTTATAAATATATATATGAAATATTCAACAACGATCACCCTTTTATTGTATCATTTGGTTTGATGACTAAATTAATGATAACTGACCCAAGTTAATGATTTAATGACCTATGGTTTATCTTTGTTATTAGTGTATTGTTGAGTTGAATGGACATATTTTAAAAGTAAATGTCACCAGATATATCTCCCGATTCCAGGCCAGCAGTGCTTCACTGTGAGGGAGATATCTTTAGATTGCAGATGGATAATAGTGGACACAGGGGGCTCGTGTCAGACATAACTCTCCTTCCCTCGCTGTCTTTAGTGCTTTACGGCTCTCTGTGGGAACGCTAAAAGCCACACTAACGTATTCTTTCTACAGGAGGTTGATTAGAATTCTCGCCGTGAGAGGATTTGGGGGAGGGCTTGACATATTTACATCCGCTCATCATTTAATGCAGAAGAAAACCTGCCTCTTCGTTTAGATCCAAAGGACCCACCTCTTGGAAGCCAGTGTGCTTTAAAATGCTGAATTTCTTTGGACCGGGCGCCATCCTTCTTCCAACAGTTGCTAATGTGCTGTATAAATCTGGGCAGACGGCGTGAGGTGCTGTTAAATAAATTAGATTTGTCAAATGTCTCTGTTGGCAAAGTTTAATAAGGGCAGAGTTCTGCAGAGTTTTCATTCGTTAGATGCTTTTATTGCCGGGCTGCAATACATCACCATGGCCTCCGAATCCACGCTGCAGTTCTCTTCCCAAGGCTTTGAAGATGCTTAACCTAGTTTTTTCCTAATGTGCTGGCAGCAGAGTTGTTAGTATCCTGTCAGAAATCTGCATGCGGAACATAATAAAGTAACGCTGAACAGATCTCACAGAGCTACTAAAGAGAATTCAACAATACAGCATCAAAAAGACACGTATGCTGCAGAAATGTGACAGTACAGCTTAATATTGTGCTGCAATACATATTTTGGGCAAATAAGTAGGTGAGAATGGGACATATAGGACAGATTTAGGTTATAGTTGTGAAAGGGGAACATGTCTGTTTAAAATTCAAATACCTACATGTGAACACATATTATATTACTTGAACAAGAGGAGAATACACATTTCTATTTTGACATCAGCTGCTTCTCCTGCTGTTCTTTCAGTTCTCTCTCCATCTCTTGCTTGTTCTTGGTTGCTGTTGTTCTGAATAGACGGTACAGATGTTGACCAATGTATCTCATTAGCGGGCCAGCAGCAGCATGGCAGACAATGACGTCCTCGCACAGTCAGCATGGGCTCAGGGCCGCTGGGATTTGATAAAAAAAGGTTTCCATGGATTGGCTGGGAATCAGAATCACGTTTTTCTTGCATTTTTTTGTGGTTACATCCAAATCGTAGAAAGGAATCGCTGCTCTATTCCGTTCTCATGCCGAAGCAAATGCATCCCCTGGAAATGACCGACGGACCGATTAGAGCCAGAGTCTAATTCGACTACATGATGGCTGCAGTTATTTAGCTTTGGTGAAACCAAGCATGACTAAACCGTCAAAGAAATGTGCTCGGTACAAAGTGTCAAGACATTTAACCAGCGTATGAAAAGATATTCTGCTTCTTTCAAATCCTTTAAGAAAAAGTGACTTTGGTATAGAAACATTCTAATGAAAGTACAGCACGCTCTGAACATCCAACACCACAACACTTTTTAAACTATTTTAACTGGTTCTTTTTGAACTATGTTCAAGGATTTGTGATCCTTGATGTGACAAAAGTTATATGCTTTTGATAAATCATTTATAATGTTTTTTTCTGCCATACTTGGTACGGCCTTGAGCTGAACCATCCTGCAGCGTAACAACAGGCGGCGCTCAGATGCTCTGTGGTAGTAACTCGGTCTGTACATCAGAATGGCTGGATAGAATATTTTGAGTTTGCTACTGGTGAGCGCACCTAACCAATGTAACGTTTTATTTTAAACGTCAGGATGCTGAAGTTTCTGCTTCGGTTGTGGATTTACTCACCAGCTAGCTGGTTTGTTCCTGCTGTCGTCAGCTTGGTTGCTGGTTTGGATGATGAAACTAAGTTAAAAAGCAACAAAGAACTTGATATTTTGTTATTTTTGCATATTAGAGCTAGACTTTCAGTTCACACTGTCATTTGCTGCCCGTTCATAGCAAACATATTGATTAATCATTGCAAGGATTAAATGCAATTACCTGACGAAAACGGAATAATTCTCTCCTGTTGTATGACATTTAATAGTATCTATGTTACTGTGATGTTTTTCTATAAATTACTATGAATTACTTATTAACTTTCTCTATGATGTCCACAAATAGTTGTATCATAATAAATAACATATATAGATTATTTATCTTCAAAAAGCAGTTTAATATCTATTCACAATTTGAGGACCAGCAAATGCTCGGGATTTAGCTTGAAAATGTTCAGAAACCATTTTCTGTGTTGACCTCAGACTTTGTCAGCAGCTGCCAGCCGTTAGCATTTATTACAGGTCCGAAGCCGATAAATGTTTTAATCATTGATGTTTATTCACACCAGGGGACTCAAATTATTCCCTAATTTCAAATGGCTGATTAAATTCCTGAAGCCTGGTAGTGAAAGTAAGCTATGCACACACATGAGATGAGAATGAGGACCCCCCATCTTCCCCCCACTACCCTAACCCTAAAAACACACACACACACACACACACGCTGGACTATGAATCAGGTCCTGTGCCGCTTCCCCCCCCGACTGACAGACCACACTCAAACCTGCTTTCCCTCACACAGGCTTTGAAGCAGGCCCCTCCCTTTCCGCTAATTTAATTTATCTTGTCAGCAACTGTTAGTTGGGAAATGAGCCCTGAGCTCTTCCTGGTTTGGCCTGTAGCTGATATAATTGTGTAATGGAGCCTCTTCACTGCGCACAGGATTGGGAGAGGATGAAAGCATTTCCTAGTTTGGCCTCTCCGCCTTTCCCAAAAGCAGTGGTGCTGAAAAGCAGAGTGAGGCTTACCTGCACCCCTGAGGTTTGGAATCTGGAAAATGTTAATTCTAATGGGGAAAAAAAAAGAAGAGAGGATGCCCTTTCGTACCCCGCAATCATTTTCAGATGATACCTTATGCAAATATCATCTGGAAAGTTAGCCGATGAGTGCGAATAAAAACGGCTAAAAGAAGTTGTGGGCTGTAAAATCAGAAAAAATATTATGTTGAACTGAAGGGAAATGAGTCTGTTGATATTATTTCCCCATATAAGTGACTCCCTGTACATTGCAAACTGTAATCTAATGTTAAATTAACTGTGGATTTATCTTTCAATGAGTTCAAAAGACAGAATATACCAAAGCTCTGCACTGGACTGCAGAGGTTTCTCCAGAGTTGATTAAGAAGTTAGAGGTTGAGAAAGAGAATTATTCAGAGCATGAACTCTAATACATTTCCTAATTAGTATGTTGCTGCACCCTCACAAGACTTCTTTCTCAGTACACACTGTTTTTTAAATCACGCGGTACGTATACAGAGAGGCAGTCTGAATATAGAGCAGCTGCTTCAATTCCTCCAGGTCCCGTCCTGCTCCGTTCTGTCTGCCCGGCCTTTGTTCTCTTCAAGAAACCGCCCGAGGGCGGCTGCGTTATCTGCTGCTAATGTCTCAGCATCCACCTGGATATCTGTTTTCAGCTGTGCTGTTAACTACCCGCCTGCTTCTGCTCCATCACCTTTAACCTGCTGTCAGCTCGGCAAACGGTGAGGCAGCGTCACCTTTGTTTAGCTGCAGCGTCGCCGTCAGCTTCTGCAACGCGGAGCAAAAACGTGCATTTTGGCCAGCTTTTCTTTCATGCTAGATGGCCTGTTCACTTATATCATGCCCGTGGGCCATTGACAACAGTGACCTTTCAGTAGCCGCAGGCTGGATAAGGCTGGGTTGCTGCGGGGCTCAGTATGGGGTGACGACTATTACGGTGGTTCACGCAGACACCGACCTCCAGCTCTACTTCCTCCCACAGCCACGACTGTACTCTGCTTTTCACTCTTGTCAGGCGAGAGACGGGAATAATGGAAGAAACTTGCCCCTCACCCTTCCCCCTCACATTACATGCTTCAGAGTCACTCCTCTCATGTTAGCCATTTTGCAGACGAGCTGCAATCGGCACATAGTCACAATGACCGAGATTATCTGCCGCTGCAGTATTCAGTTTTGCTGAGGTGCAGCAGTCATGAGAATTTGCGTCTCCTGTGTTTTTTTTTTGGGACGAGACCGTAAAAATGCAGCGTCAGACAGCGGATTTCCAGGCATGGCAGTGACAGTTCTTTCAGGATTGCACGAGTCAGATGCTGCTGGCACCGCGGTCCAGAAGTGCCCAGAGCCGGAGTGTTTTGACAGGCAGCACGGATCACCAGCGGCAGGGCTAAAGGAGACATCCAGGCACGGCTGGGGCCGGAATGCAATCAGTATCACAGTCACAGTTCTGGTTGAATAGGACAATAAAAAGAAAAAAAATAAACTGGCGTGTGAGACTCAGCATGCCACAGGATGCTCACCAGCGTTAAAGTGTCACTGTGTGGCAGAGCGGTACTTAGTAATACTGCGCTGCAAGTGCAGACATTCTGCTGCAGCTGGTGGCAATGTCTGATTATGCGCTCTACTAAACAGGAACTCTGGGTTGTGTAGCAGGGTGGCTGTTCAGTGGCCGGCGCTGGTAACACACCAGGCTCGATGGTTCACACCGACTGTCCTGCATTCAAGATGCCGTCTGGCTGACATCGTTTCATCACGTTGGCATCAGTGAACGGAATCAATTACGGAATGAAACGGATCCATATCATCAAAATATCTAAGAGCGCAACAATTTTAACAGCCAAAAGTAGTCGTTATGGGATTATGATGCCCATCACTTTTATATGAGTACTGTTTTTTAGTGTTATTCTGCGTTATTTGTATTTCTCATTCGTGCTTTGTGTGTTACTTCACTTCGTCAACCCCCCCCCCGTCCCCCAGTTAACGGCTGCTCTGTGACTTCAGCTCACGCTCTCTTAAAAAGGATTGCTGCAAGGGGCAGAGAATCAATACAGCAAAGCCTGAAAGACGAGGCCTGTTAATGTAATAGGAGTGGGTGAAATACCACAAGGCACAGAAAAGGTCAGCTGTGGCACGCGCCCAAGCAGCAGGGGGCCAGAGGAGTTTAGATCAGGTGATCAGGTGGAGACCTGTAGAGAACTATAGAGAAGATGCTGATGATCCATTGCGCTTCATTCACCAAACATTTTGTGGGCAGGTGACTTTCTTTAGGATGATTTCTTATTGTCAAATATTCCTCGTTTTAACAACAAAAATTAAGATTTAACATTTTGATAAGATTTAGTATTTTGTTTGCCTTGTTCACCTTCCTGTGTGTGTGTAAGTCCCAACACAAAACTATCTTCAGTTATATAAAGTGATTGGTTTTAAGATATGAAATCGTCAAGTAAAACTTGTACAGCCAGTCTCGTCACAAACAAGTTACAAGCTTTAGTTTGAATATATTATTTCATATTCCTCCATGAAAACGATTGCATCGTGTTTCCCACAGTTGGAACGACTCCTTTGTGTAAACCTCAACATAACATCACATGGGGTAGTTTATTTTTTGACTGAAAACTTGAACAACATCGCTGTGTGGAAAGGTTTGTGACATTTCAGGTACAACTATGCTGCAAATACTAATCCTCAATTAGTTGAGGAAATGGTGACTGGTGAGTCACATTATCGCATTTGACAAGAATGAGACGTTTTGCCTGAAACGATAACTGAAGAAGTGAAGCACACTGAAGCAGAAAGCAGGAGAGATACATCAGCGCTCTCTTCTATTTCCTTGTGTCAGCTAATAAACAACTCAGATTCCTTATTATTGATGTGAGAATGACATGAATGTCACTGCTTTCCTTTACTAACTAAGACAACCGACTTCTTTCTCTCTGCTCTACCGTTTCAAAGAGTTGGATTTTCATCGTGCTGATTGAAATGAAAAAAGGAGAAATTGCAAACACTTTCAGAAAGACCTCTGCACAAACTATTCAAGGTCTCTATGGTGACGGCAGCACGGTTCCTATGAGAGATTTCTTGTGTGATTTTCTATTGCTTTGCTCTTGTGATTGCAGCCGTTAGGACAAACTAGAACTCAAATTAGCCTTTTTATATCCTGCTAGATACCATTTGTCATTATGACCAGCGGAAATCTTTTCATTCACTATTTGAATTGCAATATTCAATGTGAATCATGTATTATTGCAGGTTTACAACAATATATGTGAGTAACATATTTGCCATTTCATATTTGGGGATTTCTCATCTTTCAATCGTCGGGTTGTAGGTGACCTTTGATACCGACCGCTGGCTGTATTGCTGGTAATGTGACCTCATTGATATGCTCCGCTGTATTTTATCAATAGTTGGACAACCTGGATGAGCAGGCCGCGCAGATCCGAAGGGAGCTGGATGGCCGTCTTCAGATGGCAGACCAGATAGCCAGGGTGAGTCAGAATCAGCAAGGGACTCCTTAATATGCTCTGTTAGAGAGTTAATATGTCACTAGTGTGGTACAACACCACAGTGGGAGCTTCCACCCACAGGTAAACGATTTTACGATTTCAATAAATTTACAATTTATAATTAGATCATCTGACACCTACGATTTTCTTGCCTTCATAGTTTCAGCTTTTTGCAAACTCCCAATGCTTATTACGTGGCTGCGCGTGTGATTGTTTTGCTGAACCTTCTCTGCCTTCAACAGGGTGGTAAGTTCCCCAAATTTGTGTCTAAAGAGATGGAGGCCATGTTCATCGAGGAGCTCAAGTCCTCAGTGAATCAGCTGATGGCCAATCTGGAGAGCATGCCTGTGTCCAAGGGAGGGGAGTTCAAACTCCAGAAGCTCAAACGGGGACACAATACCTCCATCATCGACATGGGTCAGGAGGATGAGAACACGCTGTCCAAGTCTGATGTGGTTCTATCCTTCACTCTGGAGGTACACTGCATAAGTAATGAGGATAGATATAAATGTATAATCAGATATATTTCAAAACTTGCTCGTTTTTTTTAAAATCACTTTTACATTTCTGGATTCCTAACAAAAACTAAATAGAGCATTATTTCATTAAAATACCAATAAAAGTCAATAAAATCCTACAGCTGGCTGCGCCTAAACCCCATCCCATAAATCAGAGCTGTCGTCGACTACTTGTCTGCTCAGGACTAAGTATAGAAACAGGCAGCAGGCCTGTTTAGGGGGTTGAACAGATGGTACGTGAAGAACAGACTGACAGATACACAGAACAAACCTTTACCTGCTCCTTACTGGAGAATGTGACTCATCTTGTCGTCACCTTGTCCGAGACGAGCTGTCACCACAGAGTGCGCAATCACACCTCATTTATTATGACGTGCTATTTCACAATCAGGAAGAACATAATGTGCAGAAAATGCGACAGTGATTTGTTCCTTCACAGTGGGCACGACCTTTACGGTATTCAAATGCAAAAACAATTTGGGGCAATTAGCTATTGTGTGAGTTAATTCCATAGTGCTTTGATAAAAGTCTGAATAAGTATCAGTGTTTGTCGGCCGTACCTGCCAGAAATTGTCATTAACAAACTGGAAAATCTGTAAATAATCTCGATTGAATCAGCTGTAATACAGTGCTAATGGATGTTTGATAACACCATGGAATTACCATTGTGATAATGTACAGATGTTATGTAGTAATCTTCTTTTACAATACCAACCAAGCTTGCTGGACTGATAAAGCCACAGTCAAATAAAATATATCGGCCTCATGAAGACATGCGGGGGACACTTTCATTCAAAGCGGATGCATTATTCTGACCGCAGCTCATATTTCAGTCACACTATTAATGTGACAATACAATATAAAAGTTACCCTTCGCACAGTATTATATTTATTGACTGATCAAGGACCGATTGTAAGATTTGGCTTACAAGCAGCTGTACAAGTACAAGAGTGTGGAACTGCACAGGAAGGATGGCTGTAATTTTTGGCTGTTTTAGTATAAATTCAAGTGAGTGCTCCGGTTATTAGCGTTAGCAGTGATTGTGCCAGGGTTATTACTTCTAAAATATCTGTCAAAAAAAGATGTCAAAGGGATGAATCGCTCGTCTACAACCTTCACTGAGGGGTCTGTGCTTCCCAGGTGGTGATCATGGAAGTGGTGGGGCTGAAGTCTCTGGCTCCCAACAGGATTGTCTACTGCACCATGGAGGTGGAGGGAGGGGAGAAACTCCAGACCGACCAAGCAGAAGCATCCAAGCCAACGTAAGGACCCCCGAGGGTGCATGTGCACTCATACACGTCCACGTCCACTTCATCTATACAATTTCCAAAATCGAATGCACAGTATGCACATTTAGAGTTATTTAATTGCACGTGGGAAAACCAAATAAAAGCTCAGGCAAGTTTTTCAATGACATCCTGGATGTTGCACTGTTGACACTGCTCCATTCTTTTGCTGCTCTGATCTGAATTGCTTCAGATGCCCTGAGTGAAAACCTCTTGGAAGAAAATAGAGCAAACCTACGTTGCCAAAGCATCCCAGGGGGGTTTTGGTTGCAGCTCTATTTCTTTGAATATATAAATGATTTTGTCCGGAGTTCTTGCTGTTTGTAAAGATGTATTCATTTTTATCTGTATCAAAATGAAATACACACAAATACTTTTCAGGCATACAAATGATTTATAGATTTAATTGAAATTTTATTTTGCACCTCGGTGGGCCATAGCAGCAAACCCTCTAAACCTACAGGAAAGAAAAAAAGCTTTCCTGTCTCTGCTTTATTAAAGCTGTTTGAGTCATTGGTGATTCACAGCTGAACCCAAAAACCCATTTGACTGGGTGATTTCTGACTCAGCCGACCAAGTTGTGAAAATGTTTTGTGTAATCCTGCAGAATGTCAAGTATGAAATGAAATGGCACAGTTTGTAAATTCACTACCTTTTGTTTCGGAGTCCCAGCGGTTTGGATGTATCCCAAATTATTTCTGACCTTATCCTCTGTTTTTGTAGATCGGGTTTATACACAGTCACAACACAAGGTTTCCTAGAGGCAAATAAAGTACATCCGTTGGTAAATATATCCACCCCTTCTCATTAATTAACTAGCATTGCACAGCACAAGATGCAAGAGCAAACGTCCATGAAACATCCATGCAAATGCGAGTTATTTTCGGCAGAAATTCTTCCTCTGATCTCGCTAATTCAAGAGCCATTTTATGAAGCGAGCACAAGAGAGATGGAGGGACATGAATGAGAGAGGGGATTAGAGGAGAACAAGGGCAGAGAAATGCGCGTGTGACATACATGTATTAATGCAAGTACCACTGCAGGCTGTTTGCATAGACTCATTGTTAGTGTTCAGTAAGGGTTTGCTTACACGTACTCTTGGGATTCAACACTTTAATTTGATTAAACGTCTAATTCTTGACGTTTGGACAAAAAAACCCTATTCCGTTATTGTTTTGCACGTCCGTCCTTTTTATTTCTCACCAACAGTTTCATACAGCGCGAGAGCTGTGAGAAGAGCACAGCACTGTCACACCTATTAATAAACCTCTGATTGATCCACAAGGTCACCTTCACGGCAGCGCAACGCTTCCATCCCGAATCAACACCGCTTGCAACGACCTCCCCACAGCAGCTCTTCTGCAAATGTGGCGAGCGACGGTGTCTTTGTGCACGTTAAGTGGTAATAATTATGAAGGGTTAGAAACGGCTGGAAGGAAAACTGACACAATGTCCCCGATACCTCGCTGCAGACAGAGCATTCAAGCATTTATATCATGTTGGCAGCCCAGATGGCAGCGCGGAGTAACAAAAGCCCCTATATGTTGTGTAACATGCAAACAATAAAGTGCCTTTTCCCTACGTAATCCTTCCGGGCTCGTGGAGGCGAAGCTGATTATGACGAGGTTTAGTCACTATTAGCGCTTTTCTCTTAAAGGCAAGGTTCACATTTTTCTGAGGGCATCTAAAAAGAATATTCACTTGCTCATTTACATTGAAAGCCTTCGTGATTGCTTTAATCATTCACGCTGCCCACACAGTATTTCATTTTTGTATGGTCGTAAGTGTAAAAATGAAAGCATACGTAAGGCTCCTGCAGGCTAGTTGGACACATCCAGCAGATATCTTGTTTAAAACAATGATTGTACTGACTGTAAACACACACTAGCGTTGGCTGAGGACGGTGGGTTTCCTACCCGATAACTCACATTGAAATTGCTTTGCAAGTAAGATGAAGCAGACTTGAATACATGTAAACGTGCCCTTTAAACTGTAGATAATATGAGCGCTTCCTATGTAGTGTTGTATGTGAAATTGAATTGCAGCCATTATGTTTGTGTTTTACTCTCTAATCTTCTGTTACGACGTTTGCTGTTTCGTTACCTAACTCACATCCGTGTTTCAAACATGCTCTACAAATAAACGCTCTTGCTTCTGAGACACGTCACTGATAAGGAGTTAAATAAATATAACACACCCGACAGCGGGAGTTAATTTTAGCCCGTCTGTGGCGTCTCTTTTCATCTCTCCGTTACAGACCCACGAAATAAAGTTGGCTCATAAGACAGGTTGTTTTGTTATATAAAAATACAAAAAGAGCAGCTCGGAAAATGTCTGGTATAAAAATAGCGGGAATACGTTTAGAGAGTGAAACAGAGGAGCAAGGTGTGCTTGCACCTGTGGTTTTTCCCTGACTTTGACATTCTGTGGAAATCCAAGATCATATTTCTTTGATTTAAATCATTTGTCTTTTTTTTGTTTACCGCATTGTGGCATTTCATTAGTCAAGTCTCTCTTCCACACGTTTATTGCCAAGTACAGGCTATTTGAGGGCTGCTGCAGGTGAAGCCTTTGTCTGGGATCGCTGTGTGTCGCCGCGCTGTCATGGAAGCCAACCTCTGGAGTGTCGTTTGTTGTGTCTTTAAGGTGGGGCACCCAAGGGGACTTCACCACCACCCACCCTCTGCCCGGCGTCAAGGTGAAGCTGTTTACGGAGAGCACAGGGGTGCTGGCACTGGAGGACAAAGAACTGGGCAGGGTAACCTTTCCATCTCTGCCTTGTAAAACAAACAGAAATAAACACATTTGTGTTTTTTGTAACCGTCTGATCTGAACAAGTTCAACTGAGCCGTCAGTAAACTGCCACTTGGACGTGATTCACACGCGACCTATTGATTACGTTACCATTTTTTTTTTGCAGCTCCACTGCTTATGTTGCCAGCGAAACATTTCCCGCTTTGATTCTTTGACGTTACGCCTGCGTCTGAGCGCTTTTTAACGTCCCATTTCCAATCCTTGGGTTTGATTTAAATTACTGAGCTCCTCTGAACCTCAAATGAAGAGCAGGAACATTTTATCGGTCCCCCCCCCGAGGCGTGAATGCTTTAAGGTGACTGTGATGAATGGTTACGGGTGGCGGCGTTTGCGTTGGGGGGCGTTAACACCTCAGACGTCCCCGCAGAGGAAGTGACCTTGGCTGCGACGAGGCCCTTTGATCTCCCGCTGCAGCAGCCGTGGCAGGAAGGAAGTCTTCCTCAAAGCTCTCGGCAAAGAGAGATTAGGCGTCCTCTCCGGGGGGGGGAGAGGGAGAGTGTTCCTCCACCCGTGACTCGCTTTGTTCTTTCACCTCTTTCATATAGACAGTATGTGCAAAACACACTGATCAAAGATCCACCTCACACTGATGCCGTCTCACTTCTTTGCTTTTCCGTTTTCACTCGAGTGCAGGTTGTCCTCCACCCAACTCCTAACAGCCCCAAGCAATCAGAGCTGCACAAGATGACCGTGACCAAGGCGTGCCCAGACCAAGACCTGAGGATCAAACTGGCCATACGCATGGACAAACCACAGAATATGAAACACTGCGGGTAAGCGAGCCGCGTCTTTTGTTGTCCTTGTTTTTCTTGTAGAACTCCAGCCCTCTCAGCTCCATGGCCTCATTTCTAGTCACGTACCATGGAAAAATACTGTGAAGTGCACTACTCCCCCTGGTGGATGCAAGTGTTTGGTTTAGATCTATATTCATCAGGAGCTATCGAAATATATGTCAAACACAAAGGCAATTTTAATTATATTTCATTTTTTTTGTCTAAATAATTTGATCCAACTTCATGATTCGTTTCTGTTCCAAATGTGTTTTTTATTGCATATATAATGAACCTTTTCTACTCCAGGTATCAATCATTGATTTCTTGTCTCTACGACACTGTGTGTTTTGACAGGTATCTGTGGGCTTTTGGGAAGAATGTTTGGAAGCGCTGGAAGAAGCGTTTCTTTGTGCTTGTGCAGGTGAGTTATCGTAAAAGGGTCGAGGTCGTTTCCGTTCACGCTTTTAAAGATCACCTTTCAACAACCGAGTCACAACATGATCATGTTCTGATGCAGGCAGTATATTTAATGAGATGTCCTTCTCAAAAGAGACTATTATTTGAATTACCCAGGAAGCATTCAATGGGTTTGCTTTTCTTGCTTGTTGAACTAATCGCTGATTCTACGCGTTGCAGGTGAGTCAGTACACATTCGCCATGTGCAGCTACAGAGAGAAAAAGTCAGAGCCGCAAGAGCTTCTCCAGTTGGACGGCTACACCGTGGACTACAGCGACCCCCAGCCAGGTCAGACAGCACGCCTCCACGCGGTGTCAGCGCACGCTCACGTAAGCGCGCGCTGTCTAACGCCAACCCACCTGTTCTCTTTTACCCGCGGGCGTCGCAGGCCTGGACGGTGGCCGGGCTTTCTTCAACGCCGTGAAGGAAGGAGACACTGTGATCTTTGCCAGCGATGACGAGCAGGACCGGATCCTGTGGGTCCAGGCCATGTACCGGGCCACCGGCCAGTCCCACAAACCTGTCCCGCCCACTCAGGTCCAGAAGCTCAACTCCAAAGGGGGGGCCTCGGCCCAAATGGATGCACCCATTTCTCAGTTCTGTAAGTAGAACCGAAATGAACGCGGTCACTTAAAAAGCAGAGAGAGCGGCTTTCATCCACAATGCGGCGAGAGGTCTAACCCCATAAATGTCTCACTCCACGCGCTCCACACTGCAGTCACGATCGTGGTGGTAGAACTAACACACAAGCACGCACACACATGCCTCCGTCTCTCACAGATCCCTCCAGCATCTGATGGACTTTCACTCATTGTCACCTCTACCACCACTGTCGTTTAGCTAAAGGTGCAATTCCATGCTATTCCATCTCCAGCAACAACCAACCTGAGCAATACGTTATCGCGCAAACTGTGTTTAAAATCCAAAATAGGTCACTAATACGTACGATTTAAACATTCAAGCCTGCTGGGGTTGAATTCAGACTGGCCGTAACCAGGGAGTGTCCCGCCTGGCCTCAGCGTAGGCGCGTTCTGATCAGTCCGGACGGCGGCTCGAAGGCAGTCTTGGTTCCGAGACAGTTTCTTCAGATGGTTCTGTGTCACAGAACGACGGCCAAGCCAGACAACATGTCTGAAGTTTTAACCAATCTGTCACTGTACTTCTGTACTTGTACTGCACCTCTAAGCAGCTCCCAGGTCAGGTAGCAAAGTGAAGGTAAGAGTGTCTACAGTAGTGTGGCATCTGTACCGACTTCTGTTGTAACTGTCTCTTGTGTCTCCCCCCCCCCTCACCAGAGAAGGGAAAAATATGTATTCTTTGTTAAGTGTCAGCAACGTTTTTCTTCACACGATCTGCGTATATCCTAGTTGGTTTTGAACTTTGTTGGCCGTCATTTTCTTATCAAAAAGTGAGCATATCGTCACCCATAACGACACTAATTTAGACCCCACTAAACGCAACGATGACAGACTTTTACCGATCCACAATAATAGATCCTGCTATTCAGAAAAAAACATGACTTTTTGTGTGCATCTTTTGACTCCATAGTTTAATAACTATTTGTTTTTCATTGCAGAGAACAAGATTTGTACTTTTTTCAGATTCATTTAAAAAAAAAAAACGAATTGGCATTATTTATTAATATTTAAAACAATCAGACTACAGGGTTATAACAAAGAAAAATATAATAACAGTGATACTAATACATTATTTAAGAAAAGCCCAAAATGTATTTTAATCTCTGTACATCATATCATTGGAGTAAAACTATATAAACATGAATTGGACCAGTTACTCAGAATCCTTTCACATAATCTATGTTGTTTCTCCATCGGTTTCTTTGTCCAGTATGTGGTCGTTCTTGTGGTTAGTTGACTCCTCTGATGCCAGCTGTTGCCATTGAAAGCCTCCTCACAATGGCACAGACCTCCTATCCCTCCCCTGAAACATTGTGGCACACCACGCGTACATGTTTCACCCCCCCGGTGGTCTTGAATGGCGCTGGGACCATGACATGACAGAGGCCTCTCGACTCTGCTGCAGTGGACTGATAAACAAGAGTCCTATGAAGGTTCTGAGCAATCTGCACAAATCATGATTAGTTTGTTTCGTTCCCAAACAACTAGTTTCATGTGGAAAAATGGTAAAGCGCACATCACATACGCAAGTGTTGGAATAAATGCAGGCGAGCTTGATGTTGGTTAATTCATTATGATACATTGCACAGAAAAAACAACAAATGAAAATAACATGTGATGATATCGTAGACGGCTTGAGGGGGTAATCCAACACTAGTATAAAAAAGAATGGTCAACATTAAAAAGGGTGAGATGTAATTCTATTCTCTAGAATGGGGCCCAGACCAAAACAACACCGGGTCCTACATTTCCCACAACTCGATAGCGTCTTTTTGTTCAACCCTCAGGGCATGTGGAGGAGGTGTGTAGATATTTGAATCTACACACCTGCAGTTAGTTCAGCAGACATTCTGTCGTACACGTGCAGTGTTCAAGCCTTTCCAGGTTCACGTTGAAGACGTCAAGGTGACGTCATCAGTTATTTTCTACGATCCCGCTCAGTCAGGATTAACAAGAGCAGCACTTGGTGGATAAATGATGCACTGAGCTGCGTGATGATAGACTCATCGTTCCAGAGGAGAGTAATAGACATTGAGCATATAAGAGGAAGTTCAACGCAGTAGTAGGTAGTGCAGATTTTTTAGCCAAAATAATGCTCCTTGTCAGAGTCCTAACTCTTTCAAATCTTAACCACACAGACAATAAACATTATGCATTTTGCTAAATAAGTTAATTTCAACATTTTTTCTTCAGTTTGCTTTAATATCAAATCCTTCCGGTTAAATTATTGTACCGAAATACTGTAGGCCTTTAGACATCCAGGAGCACGAACCACGACTAGACTGATCTTTGACTGATGCCATTGGCACGCATGTTTAAATTTACTGCTAAAATTGTGATATGTTATCTCGCCGTAACCAACAAACATACACATACCAACAAGTATTTTAACCTCTCCAGGACCTTCATAGTCTATTTTCTTTTAAAAAGGACACGGCATCTTTTACACATGAAACCGACGGGTTTTCTGCATCTTGGCAGGTGTATGTGTTTGCCTACGTTCCTTTTTAAAACCAAGTCTTCTGTTTGATCTGCTGTCATACAGAGTGAAAGTACTGAAAGTACACTCCTTAAGTGCAGAATCCAGAAAACAAACAACTGCAGTAGAGTAATGAGGATGTAAATTCTCTCTCTCTCTCTCTCTCTCTCTCTCTCTCTCTCTGCCTCGGCCTGTCTCCCTCTTTCTCTTTCTAATATGCCTCAACATCTGTTGTCAAGTTCACATACCCTCACATGTGCTCACACACCACCGCCCACAAACTCTCATGTTGGTATAGGTTGTTGTCTTTGAGTTGTGTTTTCTTCTTCATGCTTTGCCTGTACCCTTCTTGAGTAATGCAGCTGCTAGGCCAGGGTCTCTCGTGATTGCTCTCCTCCAGCCTTGTTGCTAGTCTTTATGTTATTCTGGTTTGTCCCTTCTTACCCTGCTGTCTTCTAGCTGGACTCAAGGGTAAGTGCTTCCCTGTAGCCGTTACAGCTCAGATAATCCCCGCCGATTATCTGACAAATGCAACGTTCTTTCTCTCTTCTTTCCCTCTTCTCCTTTTATTTCACGTCTCGCCTCATGTCTTAGATATTAGTTGATGACTCTTTTTTGTTTTGGTTTTTAAAGACCTCAACTTGAGGATCAAAGTTTAAGCATCCATTCGTGCCAGTATAGGATGCATGTATTTTATTCTAAAACATATTATTTGACTCAGTAATTAGTTAAAGTTGAAAATATAGTTGTTACTGCATAATTGCCTTCTCTCTTTATTCATATTGGTGACTCGATCCCTCAGAGTAAAGCAATATGACGATAAAATGTGACATACCTTTAGAGGAGCCCGCTCAAAATTTGTATGTCACGAGAAAGATTTAATGCTTACGTGTTTGATCAATATTGTAAATTTGTTGAAAACAAGTCGGTGACTCTTTGATTGCACTTGGATCAAACCTAGAAGATATCAGATTATATATTTATTCAAAAATAGAAGTGTGGATAACGTGTGAATGATGATGGCAGTCGGTGATGCAGTTATTTTTTTAAATATATTTCCTGCATGAGTGAATTTATTTTACACTTAAGCGTTGATTACGCTTTACTTCAGAGGGCTCAAGTGCTTTCATTATTTTTCTCCGTGCTTTCCTCGATGAGAGTTGGCAAATATGTATGCGGAGTATTCTGAATGCCAAAGACAAGGAGTAGCTAAACGCCGCCTCTTCTCACGATTAAATACTCCGGACCCCCCCCCCCCCCCCCCTTCTCTTGCCCCCCCTTCCACAGTAGATCGGCCTGTAGAATAGAAGCTAGATCGGTGGTAGGACAGAACTCATTTTGATTTCTTTTGACTGCCCTTTGTTTGCCTGATTAGGAGAACACATGTGTCATGTGTCCATACCGTTGTACAACTAGCGTAGTTTTCATTCATTTAACCCCATCTACCAGAGAATGATACAGTTTTGCCTCTGTCGGCTTCATGCTATTTACCCATGTACTTGCACTAAAATGTATTGCTACCCTATAAGAGCTCTCCGGTAGTGGTATGCCTGGTAGTGTCCTCTGTAGAGATCATAATTACACTCTATCATATTCAAGTATTGTCAACTTGCAAATGCGTAGAGAAATAACAAGGAATGCCAAAAAAAAGGATGAAAATTCAAATTTGAAAACGGGTCTGCAGATGTGCATGACATCTAACTGGAATTCCCAATGTCGCCCAGCATGTGATAATTTACATGTGTATGCAAAAGTACTCAACTATTTATTTAGAAATTTTGTAATTGAATTTATGGTTAAAGTCGTGATCATAATTGTGAGTTTTGGTAATGTTACGGAAGCATCGAGTGTACTCTGGGTTTAAAACTTCATTTTCTCATCTAATTCAACCAAAAGGTGATAAAGCCCACTCACCGTCTGTCATAGCCCAACCCCGAGCACCTTCTGTTCACCCGTTGGATGTAACTCACTGTCTTCACAGGGATCCATGAATTCACTGTCTTTGTGACTTGGTCCCTGACTGAATCGTCCTCTTGTGCTCATCACTCCGGTCCAGTAATTGTCCGACCACTGTCTAATTGTCCCATTCAAAAGGTGGTCTTACCCGTTTCCTCATCCAGCACTGAGCTCACCTATATTGCCATTTAGTCTCTTCCCCCTGTGTTTCTAGTGTTAACTGTTTATTTATTTTCATCATGACTTATATTTTCTCTGTCTCACTCAAAACAATCACTTTCCATAGTCCACATTTCACTGTCGTCTCACAGGTTTTTTATTCTCAGGCTGAAGTAAAAAAAAACGCGATCATTTACAGAGATATAACCCTCTTTAGGTTCCTTCAGAAAATAAAGTGTTTAGCCGTATTCCACCCTCGTCCCCCTCAGTGAAGGGTGACGGTTTTGTTCGATACGTTTCCCCGGCCAAGATCAGGCCTCTTCGTCCCCCAAATCACCATCGCTCATGGACAAGACACCGTCTCTCATTCCGACGACACGACTTATATCATTTTGTGTCTGACAGTGGTATTATTTACAGAGCTTAAGAAATCATGGTCAGTATAGTTAGTAGCTTTTATCTTTGCTGGTTTGGAGAAATAAAGAACAGATTATTCCATCATGTTTATCTTCACTTAGTTTTATGAGTTTTAAGTTGCATTCCATTTTGTACATAATTTGATGCTACTAATGTTCTTTCGTCATTTAATTTTACAGAGCAGGTTTTTATTTTATTTTTTAAGTCTGATGGCAAAAATTGTGGAGCAAGAAAACGACAATATAAATCTGAAAGACTATGACTTCCAAGGATCCATAACTTAAGAAAAATTTGCAAATTTCAAGTCAATACATTTTTTACCCCACTACTTTTTTTTGCACGTTATACTCTTATGAGTTATTCTTTTGCCATGAATAACTTTTTTTATTGGCACACATCTCAATATTTCTCAGGACCTGAGTCGCTTTCAACAATCACGAATGGCAGAATCTATTGAATACAAAAACACACCTAAATCTATCTAACCGGCCCTTTTTAAACATGTTTTGGATCTTTAAAAGTTTATTTCCCGTGCAAAATATCAGGGAATGTGACATACTGTATTAAGTCGCCATGCATGCACATACAATATAAAGCACATGTGCTTTTGTAGGTAGCTTCAGATGGATAGTATCTCATCTACCAATACTCTAAATCTCTTTACGCTGTCTGACCCAATGCAAGTTGACAATGTAAGCTGTGAGTGTTTATAATTTGCCCTTAGAACTAGTAAAAATAAATCCCTGTTGTGTTTTTGTGCTGTTACAAAGACCTGCCGTTTGCACGTGCCTCACTGATCCTCTCTTCCTCTGAACCGTGTTCTTTCCCCTGTTCTGTTGGCTGGATAGATGCTGACAGAGCTCAGAAACACGGCATGGATGAGTTTATCTCCGCTAACCCCTGTAGCTTTGACCACGCTTCGCTTTTTGAGATGGTGCAGCGGCTCACGTTGGACCACAGGCTCAATGACACCTTCTGCTGCTTGGTGAGTGAGAAGAATCCCCAAATGTTTGAGTGTTTGTTAGGTGACACGCAGCAATGTGATCCCTCCCCTCCCCCCCCCCGCCTTGTGTTTGTGTCGTGTAGGGATGGTTTAGCCCGGGCCAGGTGTTTGTCTTGGATGAGTACTGTGCCAGGAACGGAGTTCGAGGTTGTCACAGACATCTGTGTTACCTGCGTGATCTGCTGGAACGGGCGGAAAGTGGGGCTATTATTGACCCCACTCTTCTTCACTACAGCTTTGCTTTTTGTGCATCCCATGTCCACGGGAACAGGTGTGCGCCGCTCCCTTCTTTTTTTCACGCTCTGTGTAATACTTTGCTTAACAGGATTGAAAAGCACATTTAGATGATGATATAGATAATATTCCTCCAGGCAAACTGATTGCTCATACAGCGTAGGCGGATACGCTATTTCCGACTGGACCAGAGCAGAATAGAAAAGTCAGCCGCAGCAGAGGAACTCTTTTTTTTTCATCTTTCGTCTATATTATTTTGCCATTTTTATGCATGTTAGTTTTCATGTTAACGTTTTGCAGCTTTTTGTGTTACATGTTTAGTTGATAACCAATTATATATATATATATATCTACATATTTCCTTGTTTTCTACCATTTTTCTTTGTTTTCTTGTCTCTCTGTCCTTTGTTGCCATAGTCTCTTACTGTCCATATTATTCATCCTCCCATGCGTCCGTTAAAGTCAGAGAGGGCAGCAATTACTGGGGTCCGCTGGGCTATGAGGCTCTGTTGTCCCCAAAGACCTCCCAAAGCCCAGATCCTCGCACTGCCTCTAAACAAGCACGCATGTTCAAGTTTAGAAAGAGAAAGGATTCCAAAATACCTCTCTTTCAAGGGGATAAAAGGTGAGACATTGTCATCTGTTTGTACACGTAACACAAAGGGAACTAAAAAAATGTACCTCACACAATTTGTAGACCGTTCTTTGGGAGAACAAAGCTTTGCACCGATGGTTTTTAGTTCTTTTTTTTTGTGTTCTGTCTGTTGTTGGACTCAGATGAAAGGTTGCATGACTTGAACCTCTCCGGGGGTTTACAGGTGGTTTAAAGTGTGTGGGTGTGATTTTATAGGCCAGACGGGCTGAGCACAGTGAAGGTGGACGAGAAGGAGCGCTTTGAGGACATCAAGGAGAGGTTGCGTGTGATATTGGAAAACCAGATAGTAAATTTCAGGTGACTTCCGACTCTGCGAAAGCACGTAAAGACCAAAACGTCACAAAACGTAATTCCTATCGGTTTCCATAACTATTTCTATACCTATTTTTCTGTCTACGTCTTCTTTTGTAGATATTGTTTCCCATTTGGTCGTCCAGAGGGAGCACTGAAGGCAACTTTATCTTTGCTGGAGAGGGTAAATAATTATATATGTATATATATATATATATTAATAAATAATTATTTTTTCCTATATATATATATATATATATATATATATATATATATATATATATATATACCTATACATGTAACAACAATTGTGATTTAACGAAAACAGGTCATATGACTCCTCTTTGATGTGGCCCGCAGGTCCTGATGAAGGACATCGCGACCCCGGTTCCACCAGAAGAAGTTAAAGGAGTTATCCGCAAATGTTTGGAGCAGGCTGCTCAGCTGAACTACGAGCGGATTAAAGAATACGCTGCGATTGAAGGTAACCAGAAACACAGAACCCGACATCGCAACGTGTCTGCTGGAGTAAATGGGTTACTGCTACGATGTTGCTATAAGTCTAGAAATGTAAGTGTATGGTATGCAAGTCATTTTACGTTTTCAGATGATGAAATGATCAGCCAGTGTGTGTGAGTAACATACAGAAAAGAATATAGAATAATATATATCGTAATTACATTAACCGATGAACCATGCGTGTATTCTTTGAGTTCTTTACCTGTCTCTGTTACTCATGTATCTACACATGGTGAATACGGTATTTCTGTGTCCATATCCCAAATGATTTGTCGGCATCCCCAAATGATTTGTGACAGTTTGTCGGTGGCCTTCTGTCCCACAGTCCAATAACTCTCTCCTTTGTTTCAGGCCTGCTTTAGCTCTGTGCTGTTCTGTAGGTCAAGTTGCCTTTTGTGTAGAGGTGTGTGAGTAAAAATGCATTCAAATCCAAAGCCCTGAAATCTGTTGATATGCTGACCTCTCGGTGTGCCTCGGCGACTCCAGCTGTGTAGTTTCCTCTGACATTCGATGGTTGGACCTAACTGACGCACACTACGCCCTCTCCGACCATCCTGCTCTTACTTCTCTGATTTGACTCGCCTCACATTGAAATACCAGCAGCTCTCCTTCCTCCTCTATCTCAAGTTCCTCTCCCTCGCTCCTCTCCCCTCTGCTTTTTTTTCTCCTCCCCCAACAGTTGGGGGGAGGCCCGTCGCCGCAGTTGTCCCTTTATTTGACCTCCCGAACTGTGTGATAAGTGGCTCTAACCGAAGGAATGCTGGGATTGAACGCCAACAAACCAGCATCGGCCACCTGCATGTGCTTTGAGACATAACAACGCGGCCTTTCTTCACTGGCATGGATTACGCATCTAAAACGACATCATTGACGAGACATTTCGCAGTGTCTTTTGCTTCCGGTATGCGCGTTAAATGCATCGACGTGCATTTCGCATATTTACACTGGGAACACCTGATGTTGTTTATGCCTTGAAAGAAAAATCCCCCAGGCTGCTAAAGATACTAAGGACTCAACCCTTACTATCTTGCCATTTCTGTGTGAGTTTACTCTGCGCTGTCCTCGTGAGGTGCGGGTCTCAAAATGAACCAAAATTTGACTTTGCCTCCTGGCCAACAGAACTTGGTTTTCACCTGGACAGCCTTCCTCCCATCAGCCTCCGACCTCATGCCTTCCCACATCTGACCCCAGCCTCTTGCATGCCCCGATCCTTTTTTTTTATAGGAAAAAAGAGGGAAATGTTTGAGCACCCTGTCTTCTGCTTGGCGTCTCAAGTGATGGATTTAACCATCCGTGAGTACCTTGATCACCCTCTCCCAACTCTCTCCCATCACCTCATCGCCCCCCCCGCCTCTCTCACTTCCCGGAGAGTCGTTGCTCTCGCCATGCTTGTTTCTTATCTGTGCCTTTTTGTCTGTGAGAGTGAGTGGGGAGAGCGCCGGTTAGGAGATCTGAGCGGTGCCGCGCTGGGACCTTTTTTCGCAGTTAGCGCCATCTGTTTGTGATGGACATGAATGAGCAGTCTGGTCTGTAAGCTTCTTTCTTTTGGTTGGATGCCGATTCCTTCGACTTGAATGCATTTTTACATTGCTTACATTGTGATCTCCTGCAGTCATTTGGTCTGTGTCAGTGGTGTGCTGTGCCAAACAGGTAGGCTCTTCTTTCACCCGCGACACCACAGATAGCGAAGCGGCATCTACCGACAGGGAGGCCAGTGCGACGATGTAACCGCTTAGTGTGTCCCGTCCACGAACCCCGGCAGCTGTTTGTGTGTCGTACCTGTTGACAACAGTCTGAGCTCCGTGTGTCTGTTAACAAACATCTTATCACTTTTTCTTGATTTCCAATTTTCCACAGGCTAATATTTCAGTGTGTCTGTTTTTATTGTGTGTTTGTGACGTTCGTCCGTTGCCTTGAAACCTCACTCCCTGGAGCTGAAATCGTCCCAGCAGACTCTTTGAAAGGGTCACATGGTGACGAATAACAGCCCCCCCCCCCCCCTCCCCCCCGCTCCCTCCCCTCCCAGTAATGTGGAAATAACCCAAAACCGTGCTCATTCTAAACATCTCCTCTTTATCTCTTCTCTCTCTTTTTCTCCCTGAAGTTGAGAAAGGTCAAAAGGATCAAAAGGATCCAGGTGAACCCATGTTTAGCTTGTGGTTTAACCACAGTGCACACATACATGTACACGCACACGGACCCCACCCCTCTACACACACACACACACACACACACACACACACATGTGTTGTCAATAGTCACAGAGCATATGCATGTATGCACCCAACATAGCACATCTCCATGTAGTATGTTAAACACCCTTAAAATATACACCCTCATTTAAGTTCTCAAAGGTCTTGGCATGTTTAAAGCATCTTTTTATAAAGTAAATACGCAGAGATTGTATTACTTTATATAAGCTCAGATGTGGCTCAAGACTAGTTTGTGTGTCTTTCTTTCCATTTAGCTCAGCTTAGCGAAATGTTGTGTTCACAGAACAGTTTGTGGTTTGTAGCCTACTGGGAAAAATATGTGTTTACGTTGAATTATAGAGTAATACAATCTCTTACAGAAAAGAATAAGTCACTATCCTCCCACATGTTGAAGTATTACATTTTTGTGTTATTAACATAAATGAAACACATATTAGCACATTTTTTGAATGGGATTATGTATATAAACATTTAAAAATAAATAATGACTTCATATATATACATTTGAATCAAATTTAGGAATCAAAGAAGTGTCCTTTTAGATACCTAAAGGGTAAATTTAACTATATTCAAAAAGGCTTACGGGAAAATGTCTTTCTCTCAGGGTCTATAATCCTACAAATATTTATCTTTTTATTGTAAACTACACTAAAACTACCTTTTAACTTTATTATTTCACATGAACCCTTTTCAAAACAATTCAGATTAAATCCGTAGTGTATCCAGCCATCTTCATTCAACAGACAATCTATCGAACAAAGATTTGCGTACTAAATGCCACCAAGGATTTGTTAAAAAGTAATTTGTTGATTGGCAATTCTGGTTAATCGGCCCTTTAATATCTAGCAATAGCGAGACATATTGTATATTGGTGTTTGAGTAGTGCCATAATAGACGTACTACATTGCTACATTGTGTTCACGGTGATGATGAGTGGTCCACCGTGTGTTTCTAAAACAATACAAAACGCACATGTTTAATTTCTACTCCCCCCCCCGCTGCCTTCACAAAGCATTAAGACCACAGAATATATGGTTACCCTAATAAAAATCCACGGGATCCATGCATTAGTGAGGACTAAACGTCCTTGAGTATTAACTTTGCTCTCCTGACATCTCAGATTTCCCATGATGATAAACTTGAGTTGTTTAAATCGATTTTACAGCCAGGACCCCAAAATAAAAACCTGTTTTCCATATGAGTAGAATATTTGATCAAATGATACTTCTTACTAAAATCATAGTGAAAGCACCAAAAGACCCCCAGTGAGAACTGCAGCGTAAAGACCACAACTGTTGTATGTAGAACGATGTTTATATGTGCTTTTGATTTGCGTAGCCATTCAGTTCCATGTTATAATTCTACACATATCATTCCACAGAGTTCTGATGTTTGAAAAATCCCATTTCATGACGTGTAACTGTCAACTGTTTTCAGTGCATTCTGTCAGCAAAGAGATAAGCAAGGGATTTTTAGCTTTTGCAAGTTGTAGACCAGCGTTGACGAGTGAAAGAGTGACTTAAGTCATTTTAGTGCGCCAAACTTGATAACAAACCCATCACACTGTAAAAAATGTATTTAGATACAACTTAGTTTCCATCATTCAAAGTAATTGTATAATATTTTGCAGATAAAAAAAAATATGAAATTCAATCAAATTTGGAAATGTATTTAAACATCTATGTAATTGTCCTTAAAGTCTCTAAATTACCTACAATTGGCCTACATTTTTTGTAAATAATAATAAAATAGTATGAAGTATAAAGCTTGACTAAAGTTATACGCTATTAGACCGTTTTTTAATACTTTATACAGAATACTTTTTACAGTGTGCATTTATTAGCTGTTACCATTCGACAGCTCCTTATGCAGATGGTTTATTCAGAACCGCTTCACAATATGCATGTTTTTTTGAAGCCACATTGCACCTTCATCTCAATCCCACTATCCTATTGCCTGATTCTCGTCTAAAATAAGTCTGATTATCCTTCACAGACATAGCGTTTCATCTATTTCATGCATCCAAAAACTAGAACACATTTTACATGGGCATGGTTGATAAACATAACAGTGTAAGCACTGTGTTTATACTTTTAAAGTTAAAAATATAAACGGAAAAAAAATCTTCTCAGCAGTCGTAAAGATCCCGCTGGAATCCTCCTATGTGCTTAACTAACCACTCATCCCTCATCCTCATCCTTTTGTCTCAGAGAACGTAGGCCGCTTAGTCACGCCTGCCAAAAAGCTGGAGGAAACAATTCGCCTGGCGGAGTTAGTCATAGAGGTCCTCCAGCAGAACCAGGAACACCACGCGGAGGTGAGTGAGAACCCTCCTCCTCAAAAAACACTTTCCCTCTATACTCTCACTCTTATCTCTCTGCGCCCCTCAGCAAGGGAGTTAGTCTTATTATCAGCCTGCTATAAATACAGCTGCTTTCATCTATGGGTAACTAAGAAGAGGAAATAAACAACCTTTCAAAGATGAATTTAATTTAGGAGAGCTCTAATTGGTGTTCAACAGACCATGGCCACGTGAAATCAAAGCGTTATGTATGAAAATAATATCATGTGTTCAAGTCTTTCCTCTGATTGCGGATCATAACCATGTTTCAGTGTTGCTCAACCATTTACGGTAATATATTATATATAAGTAGTCCAGAATACACAGAAATACACAACGATGCACATTAGTCACAACCTCTGCATTCCCTTAATAATTCAAAATAGAAACTCCTTTTGGATCTATCGGAAGACAAAGAAGCCAGTGGCAGAAGAAGTGCTCAAAGTTAAAGAGAGTTAAATTATGTATTCATGATGTAGCACTTTACCTTTAGAAGTCCTGCATTAACAATTCTACTTCAATTGTAGTACAGAAGTATTAAAGGTTGAACACATCAAAGGGGGAATAGCTAAGCTTATAGAAAATGAAGGATAGTAAATCTAGATGACGTTCTTAGATTGTTATTATTGACGTATAAATCAAAGATATGGTAACATGATATGAGGTAGTAAATAATAAAATGAGTTGATAAGCAACTCACGTTTTTACTTCTTCAGATTCTTTTGTGAACTAAATGTTATGTTTTCACACCACCTGAGAAGTTCAGAGGGGACGTTCAATCACATCTTTTTTTTACAACCAAAACATATTGAAAATGACTTGTTTAATCCATACCAGTGCATCATGTTCTATAGGTTCATCATTTGTTTTATTTTTGTTCACTTTTACATTGAAAAGTAACTCGCTAATTAAAGCAGTTAAATGAATGTTACGGAGCAAAAAATAAAGTTCAGGTACAAGTTGAATTGCCACTAATGACAATAGATTAGTTATCGCATTCTGTTTGCTTCTATAAGCTGGTGGGAAAGCATGATGAACATGTGTAAGTTGTGCAGATCTGAAGGTGATCCAATGTGATCATAGAATATCCAGATAAAGCAGATTTATTGTATCTCTCTGAATATGCTTGACAGGCGGCAGTCACAAGTTCTGGAGATCAATCGGTACAGTATTTTAATTTCTTTTTCCTCTTCAGTCCCCATCACAACCCCCCTTTATGGCATGTGCGCCATTGTGGCAGGAGGCACCTCTCTAGACACAGAATTATATCAGAAAGATAACCAATGGATGGGTTTTTAGGCATAAAAATGAAAAGGCAATTGTATCTTGCACAACATAATTGTTATCATAAAGCATGTTCACCGGGCCATAAAGAGGTTTCCTTTATCTCAAAGCATGCTAAACCAGTAAATTTCCCAAAGTATGCTCCATGTGAACTTTTTAAAGTTTGATCCACCATGAACATTTGTTTCCCTTCCATCCAACGATTAATTTCACAGTCCGCACTTGTTCAAGCATTACTTCCCCCCGGCTTCTCCTCCTCCATCCCTATTTGCTGTTTAAAACCTTTTTTTAAGAGAAATGCCTCAATACTTTAAATACTTTATTGTTCTGTACATCTTCCCTGTGTTCTCACTGTCATATGATTGGTGACTGTCCAAGCAGGGAAAAGAGGTATGTAGCAAAGCTGAATGACAAATTCCCATAATGCTTTGTGCATGTCCGGTAGATGATGCTACGTCCCGTTACCCGCTCGGTCTCAGCGCGCTCCCTCGGGATCGCTCCCTCGACACGTTGCATTGTTACAGCACTAAAGGTCTTGCTGGCTGAACACCGGGTCCGTCCTAAAGCTTTCAGGGGCCTTCGTGTCCCTCAACCTTGATCAAAGGTTGGACGCCACTGCGCTTGGTGACCTTTGAGCATTTTACAGCCCTCCCACTTAATCGCCCCTCGGTCCGCAATGAGAGTATCTCTCCTTGAATGTGATGGAGAAGAGCTCTGTTTGCTGCCCGTCTCTCGAGTTCTAAAATTGTCCAGCGTTTTTTGTTTTTTAATGTTTGGAGTGGGCAGGTAAGTAGGTAGGTAAGTCAGGTTTCGACACACAATTGTGATAGGGAAGCCAACACTAGGAAAATAACAGAGAAATTGTAAAAAAAAAATAAAAAAATGCATGCATGTAGCAAGATTACGCTTAATTTATTGAACTGGGTAACATGCTAGTCTGAATTATAAGCAAATAAGCCAAGACTGCCAGCAAAGCAGCTGCCGTACTCAGCTGCTGTCAAAGGGTGAGCGAATCCTGACTGCTGGGAAATGGTCAGAGGAAGCTCAGACTCACTTAACTAATTGGAACGGATGCACTCCTGCTCAAGAGAGGCTGCGTGCTGCAGTCTTTGGTGCGCCTCCTGGAAGATGTGCATGAGTCACATTCACATCCAGAGGGTTAGTGATGTGAATGTGGAAACAAGAGAATGCATGGAGCGCCACATTTGCATGAGAAAAGCACCTTCCCTAATATCTATAAATGCTGTTGTGAATATAACAAGGCCCGGACACGCCGACTGTGACTTCTGCTACGGTATAAACGGCCTGACTTATGATTAATCCTACCTTTTATATCCTAATCAATAAGAACAGTTCATCTCACAGTTTGGAAACACACACACATTACACAGACCGGTGTAACCTTCCCCTCCTGTGGACGCTTGATTTAAATTGAGTCTATATATGGCGGCAGACAGCCACTCAATATTCATCAACATGAAGTCATATAATGAATATTTAAAATAATACTGCTACTTTGGGGCAACGCACACTTTTGCTTTCTTGCTTTGGGGTCAGAAGAGAAAGTCTGGCAGCAAATGGAAACAAACTCCACCTACCAGCTCACACATTAGGAAGTGATATTTTGTTTGTTTCATTTTATTTCCCGCTATGCGTTAGACCGCTCTGAGGACCGTGGTGACTACGTAATTAATCTGCAGAGAAAAGATGCAATTAATTAACGAGCTGCAGTTGACGGAGTTCTTTCCCCTTGTTTCCTGCTGAAGGTTACACGGACAGACACGAGAGCACTCACTCTTCCTGTGTAACGCTTGAACAGATATAAGCGCGTTTCCCGCGCTTCTGTTTTTGACGTATATGTTAAATAGAGAATACATGTCTCAAGAGGAACCTGCTTTTAAGAACCAACGAGCTCCAGTTGCTTGTGTTGTTCCCTCCTTCCCTCGTTTATTGCGTCACACCTTCTCTCAGCTGGAGCCCCTTGTTCACCTGTTTTCCCTCCCCCTCCCTCCTGCTCTGTCCAGGCCTTTGCATGGTGGACAGACCTCATGGTGGAGCATGCAGAGAACTTCCTGGCCCTCTACGCCGTCGACATGGATGCCGCCCTCGAGATCCAGTCCCCCGAGAGCTGGGACAGCTTCCCCCTCTTCCAGCTTCTCAACGACTTCCTCCGCAACGACTGTAAGCTCCCACATTCGTTCAGACACTTTCTTTTTTTTTTTTTTTTGTGGAACAAAGAAACTGATGTTCTTCTGTCACTGCCTCTTTTTTTTTTCCTCCACGCAGATCACCTGTGCAATGGAAAGTTCCACAAACACCTCCAGGATCTGTATGCTCCTCTGGTGGTTAGATATGTGGATCTGATGGAGTCCTCCATAGCACAGTCAATTCACAAGGGCTTTGAGCGAGAGTCCTGGGAGCCCGTGAAGTAAGGAGCGGCCGTCTTCATAGCCAGTCTGTAGGACGGTTGGAGATGCAGGGCTTTTATAATCAGACGCGAGACTTACTGTGTGGAGGCTGAGTAATCTGGGAGAGCAGCTACGATGTTCACCCAGGCTCACTTGTAAAGAATGAGCCATGAGTGGGCTGATAACCTATTTTCCCTCTGAAAGTATCGGGTTATTTGTTCTGAAAATAGTCCTCGTCTAATGCATGCATCTCACCAATTTCTTTGCGCCACATTTGGGAAAAGGGCAACACCTAATGTCTCTGTTGTTATGTTTTGTGAACTAACATTCATAATGTGTGCTTTGACGTGTTGCCTGAAACAAAAGGCCTTCGGTCTGTTATGCCGCTGTTCTAATTTAATTAATGTTTTTTCTTTTGCATTTTGTATTGAAAATAATATATTTAAGATTTTATAAGATAATTACTTTCCCTGGTTTGCATTTATTTATTCTTTTCATTATTACGTTGCTTCTCCTTCTCGCTGCATTTAACACAGTATCTGTGTTCATCCTGACTCTTCTTTAACACTGAAGGTTTCTGTGTAACGTTCGTCTTTGATAATTAATGTCGGTCCTGTTTACATGTGCAACTGTATGTCTTTGCCTAATTTCAGATTTCACGTTACTTTTATGATGAGTGTTACATGGCTTTCTGCAGCTCCCACACCACTGTTATGGATTCTTTTTTTTTCTTTTTGTCTGTCTTTTCTGCAGGAGTTTAACAAGTAATCTGCCCAATGTGAATCTACCAAATGTCAACCTCCAAATTCCCAAAGTACCAAATCTGCCAGTGCCAGTAGCAGGACTATCAGTTAACCTTCCACAAATGCCTAGCTTTTCAACCCCGTCATGGATGGCCGCTATATATGACTCCGAGTGTGTATTCAACTAGTTTGCTTTAGAAATATTAAGCAGAGACTGCCTTGGTATGAAGATGCCCTCAGTAATCAAAAGATACTTCAAAAATATCATAACCTTTTTTTTATTTTTTAAATTCAGCCACATTTATTCTGCACAAATCTTACCGGATATCAAGCAATCAATTCCTGTATGTTGTCTCTAATGATAATAATCAATGATTACGTCCATGTTCATGCCGAGGGCACTCTGAGGAGTGTTAGAGTAGATGGCGTTCTGCTTTCTAAAACGAAAGACACCTGTAGTTTGTCTCAACATGCATGTGCTGCTGCTGTGGAGATACAGACCAAAACAAACAAACACAAATGTTGATATATATATATGATATATTATATATATATATGTATCTCCCCAGACTTGTTGTCTACAGACATTTGCTTTGGTAATTCTTAGCGCACTGTAGATCGTAAATGGCCGTAGATTCATCCCTGACCTTGACCACCTGCGAGTAGTCTGATTTGGGGGGGGGGGGGGGGGATAATGAGTCGGATTGGAGACGATAATGAGGAGAGACTTGGCGCCTCGTGTTTGGACCTCTCTCTCTCTGCCTTATCACCTCCGCCTCTCTACTCCACATCTTCCCTGCAGCAATTTCCCAACCGGCTCTACTCGGGACGCCGTGGAAGGTCTGCATGGTTTGCTTAGTAATTCTCCCGGGGGACCCACCAGCCTGGGGACGTGGATATTGAGAGAGGGCCTGTGAATGAAGGACAATCATTTTGGAGAACTATTTTCGTGGTTAAAGAACCTGGCCTATAAATACCATTTTTACACGCCCTCCCTCACTCTTCTATTCCCATCTCCTTTGTCTTGACACGGTGTGATCAGCAGCTTTATCTGCAGTGACTTTACCTGCATGTGTCAACTCCACGTCCCGGTCAATAATCACACTCTACAGCATGGTTACCCAGTTGTAATAGTCAACCCGGCCCGATGCTTCTCAGCCATACACTGACTGTTCACAAACACCTGCGTTGGGGCAGATACTTTTTGACAAACCAGTCAGTATATGGTCGGAGTATTGTTTGACACTGTTGAGGTGCGGAGGAACAGCATCCTCCTCTGCACCCACACCCCCCTCTTTCCGACCGGGTGACCTTTGTCCTCTGACATGCATGTGTGTGTGTGTGTGTGTGTTTGGGTTGATGGCAGTAATGGCTCCGGCACGTCAGAGGACCTCTTCTGGAAGCTGGAAGCCCTCCAGACGTTCATCAGGGACCTACATTGGCCCGAGGAGGAGTTCGCCAAACACCTCGAGAGTCGCATCCAGCTCATGTCCAGCAACATGATCGAGAACTGCGTCAAGCGGTGGGTTTGCGTGTTAAGAACGAGTTATTTAGTGGGTATTTGATGTTGTAGTGGGTGTTAACATTGTGCTTGCATTGCAGCACCAGGATAGCATTTGAGTCCAAGCTGACAAAAAGCAGCAAGTCCACAGATTTCCGCATCTCTCCGACATTGTGCACCATGTTCAACGTGATGGTTGACGCCAAGGACCAATCGGCTAAATTGTGCGCAATGGAGATGGGCCAAGAGGTGAAAAAATACAACAAAAAACATCTTTAGTGTGAAAACATTTCCTTCTTTTGACATATGAAGGTAAAAGATGATGAGTCCCACTGTCCCACGGATATTTGTTAAAACTTCACTTTGCAGAAACAGTACCACACCCAAATAGACGAACTGATTGAGGAAAGTGTGAAAGACATGATCCAGTTCCTGGTGGCAAAGGTGCGACTGTTTACCAACTATATGTAACAATAGATTGTTTATTACACTATTTGTTGGATGCCTCGTTCTGCAGCTGAATACCGCTTTTCATTTCTCGTGTTTCTCAGTTTGTCGTCATTCTGGAGAGCGTGTTGGCAAAGATTTCTAGATATGACGAAGGAACCCTCTTCTCTTCGTTCCTTTCATTCACGGTGAGATGAAGCTTCGGTCCCCCGTTGCCTCTTTAGACCTTAATGGGCTCATTCAGTCACATTCACTGCTACTTATTGAACATCAGTACTTTTTGGATATCAACCAAAATGCGCTATGCGAGTGTTGTTGGTTCTAAAGCGGTCATTAAAAGATCACTCAGAGGTTCAGATCAGACGGTTTCTGTCTTTAATCTTTTTTAATTATAGTCTGTAGTTGACTTCCATGGGGGGGATGTCACAGGATTTGTAAAGGTAAATTTGTAATTTATTATTTTGGGCTTTACAAAATGAATTGAATTGAATTATCTTTCCAGGTAAGCTGTTGTTAAAGTACTTCTGAAACTCATACATTGTATCTGCACTAATGTTGACAATGTTGTTCTGTTTTCAGGTGAAAGCTGCTTCTAAATATGTGGATGTACCTGTAAGTCCAATCACAGCCCACCTCCACGTGATACGTTGTGTTTACTCGATACAGTTGAAAGAACCTACTTTTCCTTTTGCTGTCTCTTTTTTAATGTCATTTTGCTTATTCCTCTGCTGGGGCCCGACGCTGTTCTGTTTCTGTTTTACAGAAACCTGGGATGGACGTGGCCGATGGCTACGTGACCTTTGTGCGCCACTCTCAGGATATACTTCGTGATAAGGTCAATGAGGAGGTGTATATAGAAAGGTTATTTGATGTAAGTAAGATGCCGTCTCCTCCTCATAAAAAGGGAGGAGCCTTCCAAAATGTGGCAAAACAACAGTGCAGAGAGGGATGAGTCCCATTTTGAGGGCAGGAAATATATTTCAGGCTTTTCTTTTCTCTTCTTCTCCTCTTGACCTTTCTCTTTTCATTCTGACTTTCTGTCCCTCTTGACCTTAGCGGCTGCCCTCTGCATTCTGGTGTGCATTGCCACACTGCTTTTGGGCTTTTGTCTATTAAAAACTTTTATTTACAAAGAGTCCATAAAAGCATCCTGGAAATAGGATTATATGAAGCAGTGCTCTCTGGAAAGGACAGAACTATCTGATGGCGATCACATACCAACACACATCAACTTCTATATTTTTCCGCTTTCAGATACTTTCCACTCAAAGCATGTCAGCCCCCGAAGTTAACGCAGTCCGCCCTCTTGGCTTCAGTCCACAGTGGAGCGCCCAATGCAAATGTCACCTTAAACATGCTGGGTGAAGGATGCCAGAGTGACGTGATGGTGCCAAACTCCGAGGCTGACATGCCATTTGCCCTTGGTCTGTTACAGCAGTGGTTCCCAGCCTAGGGGTCGAGGCCCCACTGTGTGGTCTTAAGATACATCTGAAGGGTCATGGGAGGATTGAAATGATAGGAAAACAAGAATAGAACACATTCTGCTGCACAAAATAATGTAAATCTGAGCTTGTTGCACCGGCTTGAGTATAGAGTCAACACACTATTCGCTTTAACAAGAAACTGACTGTACCTGGTTTGTTTGGTACTAACTCGTTTCTAACTTTAGCTTCTGAATTTACAGGAGCACAACAGCAATGAAAACATAGCAGCAGAGCGTGATACCTAGTTAATTATTCTGATTAAATGTGAAAGAAAGTCACTACTAAGAAGTGAGGAGAAAAAGATTCTATGTTATTATGTCTGAAGTAACATACTACATGAAACAGCACATATTTGTTCTCATTATTAATACAAAAATGATCTAAGTAAGAGCAAGTCTGTATGACACATAAATAGCAACGGGTCATAACTCAAAACCACATGAACAAAAGAAAATGAAAAAATGTCATTGCATCATTACTGTCTGTAGTTGAGGAGCAACTGGCAGGAGAGGTGTAACCTTCATCTGCAGAGCTGTTAAACATATTTGATTGACAGAAAAATAATTGGCAGCTAATTTGATAAACACTCTCTTGCGTGAAAACGAATCTTGTTAAAAAGAAATAGCTGATATTACCAAGTTTTACCCTTTTCGGGTGCAGCGGCTCGCAGTAGAACGGGAGCGTTCCTCCCGTGTGACGGGGCGCACCGGTTGGCGTGATTCGGCTGTGGAAGGCTGGGAACCAGTGTGCTGTGAGGGTGAAGAGAGCACTGTCTTACAAAAAACATAATCCTAACAGGACACATTGACAGTAATGTCTCCTCCATGTGTGGTTCAAATGACACATAATGCTGTGATGTGTGTGTTTCATGTCATTCAGAAACTATTTGTACAGACCCGTGTCTTTGCAGGTGGTGACGGCTTTATGACGTGAAGTCTTTATGTCTGAGGGACACTCAGAAGTTGTCCTTTGGTTTTTATATTTTTGTGTTCAGCTGCAGAAGCAGGAGTCTTGTGCCGGATTGATATATATAAATATATATGTATTTTTTTTTTCTGTCTGTTTTGGAGTGAGGGTCTGCTTTTGTCTTTGAGGTCCACACTAGCTCCCCTGTCTCCGTCTGTGTGTCAGTTTTTTCTTGTGTGAAATTCTTCCCCTCGTGTCCTCCGTGTGGCCCCAAAGCGCACCGAAATCCTACTCGCTACTCAAGCTGTGAATGTTTCAGTTTTAATATTTTAAACCACCCTTCAGTTCAAAGATGTGTGTTTTTCTCTTTCATTTGAACGCATTTCCAGCCATCCATCCATTTGCATGCACGTGGAAACCAGCTCCTCGATGGTGCACAGGCTCTACTTTATCTCTCTTTCTTTCACTAATTAATTTCAATCCTTTTTAATCTCCTCTTTTCTGATTAACACCATTCCTGCTGCCTCCTGTATTTAAAAAAAAAAAAAAAAAAAGTGGCACTTATCTCTAGTGTTGCATTGCGTTGTTTTATCACATTATGTTGGTTGGCATGATTTTAGAGTCAAATAATCTTCCTGTGTACATCTTCTAGCATGACCCTCTTCTTCAGAGTTCTGCCTCATTTGCACATAGAGCAGGCTCCCTTAGCACGCACTCTGCCACCCACCACCTGCCAGGTCTGCATGCACTGCACGCTCAACTCGACTGTGAAGTGGACAGGCATCTGCATATCTGGCCTCAAGTTCAAACCTATCAACCATTCACCTGAACTTCATCTAAAAAAAAACAACAAAGAAAAACTAGACTTCAAACTAAACCTCAGCAACCAAACCAGTGAAAAACCTGCCACGGCTAATACGGACCAAAGAAAACCTTTTTCCTGCGTTCCTGCCTACTCACATGTTTAAAGTTGACGTCTTTATCTCGAGGTTGGAGGTGTAACAACTGTCTCTATTAGACGTGGGTGCTGTTCTCTTGTGACTTCAAACCTTAAACAGTCTGGAAAAACCGACGGCCAAAGTCATGCAGAGAAAAGGAACAAGAAAATAGCACCGCTGCTCGCTGCCTGCTGACCATTTACTCACTCTCATTCTATCTTTCTTTTGCCAAGGAACTCGTACCAAAACTATACTTTTAATTCCCGATACAGTAGTAGTTTTTTCATTAGTGTCGGGTGTCTAGCTTATTGTTTCTACTTGAATAAATTATAAAGTTATTTCCTTCAATAATTGATGGGCCCTGCAGTGTTTATAAAACATTGACTTGTGGAAAATTAGTTTTGCATTTTTAAAGGACAATTAGAGTCTCGGGCAGATAAATCTGTCATTGCTTTATGACTTTGTTTGATTTTATAATATTCTTCAAGTAGCAATAGTATCAGTACTGTGAGTAGTATTGATTTAACCATTCAGAGGGTTCAGAGTGTATATATATTGTATATACAGTGTGTGTGTGTGTGTGTGGATGTCACACTGATGGTGTGCTTGTGTGTGTCTGTAGACGGTGTTACTTAAACAGTAACTTATTATCTAATTAGATACAGTTTCTTATTACACTCAAATTGTAATTAGGCCAATTGTTCATTTTAATTCTTAAACATCTCTGAAAAGAAAAAAGAAAAGTATAGCTAGGTCTGCATTCATTTCTTATAAGGCCCTCAAATCATCTTTTCTCCATCTCCTTCCATCTATGAGCGAGAAAGAAATAGTTTGACCTTTTGGGAAAAACACTGAGACAAACAGCGAGCGCGTCCAACGGTATCACAAACTCCACAGCGCCTGTTAAGTTCACTGACAAAACAAAAGTAGCGGGAAAACAATAATTCAACATTCTAGAGGTCGGGGGGCCGAGCAGCAACTTCATGCAGTTTCTTCCCTGGAGAATGGAGGCATCACGCAAACAGGTGTTGTGTTTGTTACGTGACAAACGACGTCAGGCCTCACGCGTGTGTTAAAGCTGCTGGCGGGTTTTATTTAAGGAACCCATGACTGGAGTCTGCTTGACTGTCATTGTCATACAGCGTATGTGTTTAGTTGCAGTCCTTTAATGAGCGTCCTAAAGGTTAGTGTTACGTTCCGGTGCCTTGAGTATGTGTGCGAGTGTGTGTTTTGCTGGAGAGTGTTGTGTTTATGTGTTTCAGCAATGGTACACCGCCACCATGAACCTGTTGGGGACCTGGCTGACCGAGCGCATGGAGCAGCAGCTCCACGTCTACCAGCTGAAGATCCTCATCAGGATCACAAAGGTAAAGGCCGGAGGACAACAGCCGTCCAGATGAGGAGACGCCCACAATTCCCCCGTTTCAATGATGCGCCTCTCGTCCCGCCTCTAGAAAAAGTACCGGGACTTCCGCCTGCAGGGCGTCCTGGACTCCACCCTGAACAGCAAGATGTACGACACGGTGCGCAACAGGCTGACCATCGAGGAGGCCACTGCTTCGGTGAGGGAAGGAGGCATGCAGGGCATCTCCATGAAGGACAGCGACGAGGAGGACGAAGACGACGACTAGAGCTCGTATACACCGACAGTCCGACTCCAACCCCTTCACCCCCACCCTCCTTTCACACTTTTGACTTTAGCCTGGTTACCGATGCATGTACCAACTCAGATAGCCACTCTAGGACCTCTTTGTCAGCTCGAAATGCCTATCGAGGGAATATTAACTAAAACTAAAATAGTACTTATACTGAGGAAAAATCGAAAATAAAAATGTTAAAAAATATCCACGATTGGCGGTTTAGCTGTCATGATAAAGATAGCAACTATCTTTGATTCATCCATTTCTAAATTCATTTCTATGTGTTACTAAGCAATATGGAGAACCATTTGTTTGACAATGTTGAGTGAGATTAGTAGGTGTGTCCCTGTCCAATGCAAACCTATATGGCGCTTCTTTGTCGTATTCTACATTCATTAATGGTACATTGTTGTGATGATGCGTGTGTGGACCCTTTTCTTTGTCTCGTCTGTTTTTAAGTGAATGCCAACTGCTTCAAACTGAGAAAAAAAAAAACCTCTGTATTTGTTTAGGGCTGTCACTGATGTTGTCTTCTCACTGTTATTAAGATCAACAGTAAGTTCAGACGTGCATTTTTATCATGTGTCAACGCTTACGTGACTTTATCTCAATTACTAATTAGACACGGCTCGACAGGACTCATGAACTTTAACGAGTTGGTATTCCAGAGATGCAATATTCTCGTTGGTCCATTTTGATAACTTGGGATATTCTATTTTTTTTTTCAACATTAAAAGGCCTTGAAACAGGTTTTATTTTATTTGTGTTGCACTTTTACAGAGTGAAGAGCAAAAATATTATTTTTTTTATTGAAAAAAAAAAGAAGGTTGGTCCGTCTTTGTTCTGTAACTGTGTAGAATGAGATGTCTGGCATTTGTTTGGGTCTCACTGTTGTTTTGTATATATTATATAAATATATATATAAATATAAAATGCTGTACATTGCATTCTGAGCCATCGCTGCATGCCTGTGGGTTCTCACCCTCCCTAAACGCTTCCTGTTTTCTGTGTGAATTAGCTGGTGGATTCATTCTTGCTTTTGCCTTATGAAAGCCAACAGTTGTAATATGCAAGAGCTGTTGCCTCTAAATAAAAATTACTGTACATGTGCATTTGCTGTCATGTTTGTGTCAACTGCGTGTCTCCTCGTGACACAATTAGAAACACACTGGACACTACTTTAAGTGTTTTTTTGGTAGTGGGGTAAAATAACTGGGTACTTTTACTCTACTCAGATTCCGTCTTCCTGCAGACAATTTTGTCAAGTATGAACACACAAACTTTTTTAGATTCTCTGTGACAATCTCATTTGGAGGATTTCGTTCCATCGAGAACAATCGCTTGCTTATTTAACCGGCAAAAATAGTGTCATTGAATTGCTATTTTGGGTTTTTCAAAAGGAACCATGTCGTTTTATTCATAAACGATATGTAATCCCAACTATGTAGGATCAAACCTGGTCAGATCTTTTAGTGAGGTGACATTTTTAGCCATAACATCATCGGCAGGCCCACCATTTTAAAGTTGTGATATAGAATATCCCAAAAAGTGTCAACGTAGTTGTTAGAAAATGTAATGAAAAGCCATACTATAAAAAAATCATAGTATGTTAAAAGAAAGCCAGAAAAAAGTAAAAAGAAAGTCGTGGTCTATCTAAAATAAATCATTAAACAGATTTTCAAAAAAACTGAATTAAAACTCAACACTCAGCTGTGTTGACCTGAAATATATGAAACCTCATCTAAAAGTCATACGAAAAACATCATTTAAAAGAAGGCAAAGTATATTATATTCATAAAATGAATGCAGAATGTAATAAAAATGTCCATTTGATGTAATGAAATGTCATTAAAAGATGCCGTATTAAATGTCAAAGTATCAATGTGTAAATCTTTATTCGTTATTTACAAATGGTAACAGCATTTGTTATAGTGGAGCTTAGTTTTTCATATTGAAAAAATAGATTAGAAGACGTTGAGCTCTTTACTATAATTCCATTATGTTAATGAGGTGAAAACTATTTCTTTGAGAAATTACAAGAAATACAAGTATATTTTTTCACAATTGTTATATATTGAAATAAAAATGCTTGTTACCCCTTAGTTGGAACATGTTGTTTTACTGCACCACCTTTATTTTTTAAATCATCTGGCTTGCAGCGACTTCTCCAACTTACATGACCTCATAAAGTGGGTTTCTTCTAAAAAAGGCATCGTCCTTCTTTCATTCTGCACCATTTCATCTATGGGGTAAATTTCATTACTCCCTGAATTCAGTCCCTAAATTATACAAACAACCACTTCAAAAGTGTTTTAAGTGCATGTTGTTGCTGATGCAGTACTTCTACCCACGCAGCTGTAATTTTGTATGCACGAGATATCCGCACATTTTCACATTGATGCAATATTTTTGTTTGGTGACAGACTGACAGGGGCAATAAAATATATTTGTTTTTCATCTTGTCCAATAGTAGTTCCACGTAAAACACGTTATGTTGTGCACCCAAACCCAAACTTTATTTCATGAATAGCAATACAATTGAACTGTTAAATAACACTATTACACTATAATATGGTATATGACAACATCATAGAAATATACGGCTATGATAGTCTCATATAAACATTTGATACGATGGACAAAACCATTTAATTTTTTATTTAAGTTACAAAATAGACTTCACTTACCAACCGGGCAGAAATGCAGTGAGGCTAAACAAACTGGTTCTCTGGACCGATGAGTAAATATCAGGAAATATCTTAATTAAATATCAGTATGGACCTCAGAGGGGCAGGTTTAACTGTGGGAATTCTGCTGTGAAGATTTGGATAGTAAATTTCCCAAAAAGTACAATCTTTTATGGGGCCACTATACAAACCAAATCTTTGTATGAAAATATAAACCTCTATGATCACAAAGATTACATTAAAGTTGAAGATCATTATTCTTTTGAAGCAATCTTGTGCAACCACGGTACTCCACAAGCATAGAAATATCAAACAGAAGAGACGTTGGAATCCATACAAAAGAAAACCCTTTTTTGTTGCAGAGCTGTGATCAGCAATCTGGACTTTTGTCTCCAAATGTTGGAGGGGTTTCACTGAATTTAGCAAACTCCCCGTTGTCAGAGAAGTGGGTGTTCAAAGTTTTTTTTTTTTTTTTTTTACTTTTTCTTTTTCTACCAGAGATTATATCACAGAATATAAGGATACACATAAATCAATTAAGAGAAATGGGTGTTCGGTGGGGTTGAAAAGGGCTTGTAATTAATAGTCACAAAATGGTGCTGACAGAATAACATCCCAAAATATATATATATATATATATATGTATATATATTTTACAGCCTGAATCCAGAAACCGGTACTCTGGTTATTTACTGTGAGGAGAGTTCTTGAGGCAGGAACAGAAGCATGCTAAACTCTTCTTCAGTTCACACCTCTGACACCAGGAATCAGCACTGAAAGAGTTAACCATTTTGATTTTAAATTCTAGTTGATTAAATAGATCTCAAGACAAAACCACTTACATGTCGCAAACTACAACCACATCTTTGGTTACAAATAAAGCATCATCATCTCCATTGCCCCCCTCAACAACAAGAAACTACAGTGCCCAATGGAAAGTATTCACCCACCATGGATTTTTTTTTAATATTCTATAGATTTCAAACTTTGATTGACAGTGGATGTAATTAGGATTATTTTCTGATCAACAGAAAAATATTCAAACTAAGTAAAACATAAAAACTATCGATGGGACAAATATTCAGTCCTTTCCTTGAATGGAGATCACCGGTGTGTCATGAATTTTAAGTAAGCGATTTCATGTAAATTATATCTGGAAGAAAAAGTTAAGTGAATTTACAAGCTAAAGCAGCACCATGAAATCAAACAAATCTGAGTTACTGAAGAGCACTAAACAGAGAAAGGACATAAGAACGCTTCCAAGGCACTGGATATCCCTAATACAATTCTCAGCGTTTTGAGAAGAAGGGCAAAGTGAGACCGTGACGACCACGAAGACGTCCGACCAGTGAAAAACACCGTTGTCATCATGAGGTTTTCTCACATTAAAGTGTAATGTGAGAAAACTGCAAAACATAATATTTCATCAAACCAATGACCCCAAATATGAAGCCACACAGGAATGTCTGTAGAAAAGATAATGATTCACGTCATGGCGAGACGCCGTCTGGGGCCTCAGTTGAGTCCAGAATAAGTGACAGGAGAGAAAACTTTGCTGTTCACCTTAATAAACTGAGTTGGAGTAATTTACTGTTTTGATTCGCAATGAAGAATAAATCCTAATTTCATCCACTGCGCTTTAGTGTTGGGTGAATACTCTTTGTAGACATTGTATAGTTTCGATACGTTTACCCACTACACATGTTAACAGTTGAGCTTTGACAGTTGAAGTTTAAAAAGCTGGAAAGAGTCATGACGACCTCATAGAACATGAATATACGCCCTGCTATTGGACAAAAAAGCAAGAGCGCTAAAAAAAGAAATATATAAACAAAACAACATAACAATACAAATCCTGTAAAAAAAAAAAAAACTCATGTTCACATTATTTAGATGTTTAAAAAAAGAAAAGTACATTTTACAAGACAGCAGTGAAATATTTGGACAATACATGAATATTAAGCAGGAAAAAGTATCTTAGCATGTGATAAAGAGCTTCAACCAGGTGGGGCGGAGCCTCAAAACGCTGTGTTTTATTGAGGTGACAAAGTGACGAGATGCGTGCTGGCGGCTGCGTTGGAATGTGATGTTTTCGCTTTGAGGAATGAGCCGGATCGCTTTAACTCATCCTGGTCTTCATGCTTCAGGTTTGTCTCAATGCGGTCCAGAGATCTCGGTTGAGTCGAGACGCCGCCGTCCAACGGAAGTGTCTCCTTCACCGGATACAGGCAGTAACACTGATAGTATAGTGCAAACTGGACGAAGCTGCTTCCTCCTCACGACAACTTAAAACGGGTGCAAACGCTCAGCAGGATAACATTTAAAAACGAGGAATAAAGGACAAAAACATAAATATCAAAAACTTTTATCGGTATAAAAAGTAATAAGGTTATTCGTTGAATCAATTGTCTGGCAAAAAAGGCCTCTGGTTTTTTTTTTTTTTTATACAAACGAAGTGCCTGTGAACTTCCTCAGACGAGCGACTCCATGCTCTCGGCCGGGTCCGACTCGTCCGCCATCACCACCACCCCGTTAGTGTCCATGTGCACGGGGCTCAGGCAGAACTCTCTGTTGCCGACCAGGCTGAGCATGGCTTTGTAAAGGTACTGGTACTGCTCCTGTGCAGGAGAACACAGAACACACGATGGGAGAACATCGGCGACCACTTCCTGTGGGGCAACGCTCACAGATGGCGACATTTCTTTCAAATCGGCGTTCATCAACATCTTCCAAGCAAACATGAAATGATCGATGTGGAAGGTGCCACAGTGAACATGGACCCAACTCCGCATCTCTCTGGACCATCCATCCATCCATCTCCAAACCCTTCATACGGGGTTGCGGGGGAACCGATCCAGACATTTTGGATCTATTTTAGCTCAGTTTTTGTGGTTTCACATACACATTACAGTATGTTTTGGTGTGAACAAAACTTTCCGACCTCCTTTCCATGAAGGATGATATCTAGTGGCCCGGGAACACAGTGGAACATTTACAAACTAAAGCACAGATATTTTAATCACAGGTTGATGGAAAGGAGAAACTGAGCAGAATATCGGACTAACTTTCAACAAGTAACATTGCTCTGTTTCTCCTGGATGAAAAACGGGCTGGTTTGCTAATATGTCAGCCATTAAAAACAGAAGCTGGCGATGGTGGTTTTCTAGTGACGAGAAGTGAACCAACGCAGCCTTACGTGTTGCCTAAAGCGGCATAAGTCCCGTTTGTTAGATGGAAACACAAAATTGACATATTCACATCTGATGAACTTGAACTTACAATATCAGTGAAGACTCCAGGCCTCATGAGATTGATCATCTTAGCCACCTGATAGATGTCGACAACGCCTTCGTTCTCCAGCTGCTGGGACAGTGTGGTGAGGGCGCAAAGCATGCCCGCTGACACGGCTCCGTACCTGTGTGGAAATGTTCAAAATCAGCTGTGTGTATCTGAACGGTATTCCTGTTCGGGTGTTCTTAAACAGTGTTAGCCCTATTAAATCCTTAGTCTACCCATCCAAAATGACTGTTTTATTGTGCATAGTTTGTGTTTGGATCCTATCGTGATGAACTAGAGGCACAGTGTGATAAGGTAAATGTGTGGGGCGTGCAGCTATTTCCACACAGATTGTTAGTAATTAGCTTCCCATTGCATTAGCATCAGCAGTAAGTAGGTAGGTTGATTGATGATCAGGGCCTTGTATGTCGTGATGTTTTCACTAACAGCATGCTGAAGGAAAAACATCAGCTGGGAACAGTTGTTGCAATTGTTACGGCTGCCTGGTTTCTAACAGACGTTGGATTGGTACTTTAGTTTATCTTGCCAGATGCCTGGAGATTCTCAGCGCCGCCATAAACCAGAGGACTTCCAAACCTCATGCAATAGAGAGCACTCCACATTCAGCATCAAATTGTGCAAAAGTACAGTGAAACGTGCATAAATCTGAGGTAATTAAAGGTCTTAGGGTTCGGTTACCAGATTCAATAGTGAAAGCTAGCGAGCACCTAGAACACACTAGAACACACTAGCAAAGTGTTACGGTCAAGTCACAGTGTGTGTAAAAATCAAATGTGTACTAACAGACAGAGTCCCGGACTAGTTAATGACTGGGTCTCTGGGACAAGCAGACTTTCCCTGCGGTCACAGAGGGCAAAGACAAACCCAAACGTACTCATCGTGCACGATGGTGGGGCCATCTCGAGTCATGGCCTCCTCTTTGATGACACTGATGAGCTCAAAGGTGCTGCTGAGAGGAGCGTCGGGGTTGGGCCATTTAGGACACTGGAAGTGTCTCACCTCCAGAACGTAGTCGTCCTGTGACGCAGAGAAGTCAAAGTGTCACTCGTTTACTCACGACACGTCGATGCAACACCGGAAACGTCAAAGAGCACCGGACTTGTTGTGCTTTGTGCATCCGCTATCGAAGGTACCTGTGTGGCCTCCAGGATGAAGTCGTGGATGATGATCTGCTCCTCATTGGAGAGGCACAACCTGTCCTTACTGATGAGGGTGACAGTAAAGGCAATGCAGTTCATGGACTCCTCCCGACTCGGCCAGTAGACAAATTCATCCTCAGCCTACAGAGAGAAAGAGACAAGTAAGTACCTTCAACCAGACTCTGCGGTTAATTATTTGTTGCACTTGTCATTATGCAGTTTTCCCTGAACATGACATCCTAGAATTTAATAGGCAAATTATTTTTTCTACTTTTCAGGGTAACTTACCAGGCCCTGGTTGTCGGGCAACATGACAATAATTTGAGCGTTATGGTCCCAGATCATCCTCCAGAAGTCTGTGGTGGTGTGGGGTAACGGATGCTGAGTCACGATGAACTCATTACTCCTGAAGTAACCCTGAGGTGACGGATGTGGGCGGTTAATATTTTTCAAGATTGGAGCATAAATATTACGTGCTAATAAACAAAAATACTGATGGATGAACGTCAAAGCTGACCGACTAAACTAATCGAAGAATGTTATGTTATTATATTTATACATACCAACAATTCTAGATAGTTCTAGAAAAGAAGAAAAGGGGAGCACGGATGAAATACTGTACCATTACGTAAGACGCATTAATGTAATCGGTTCCTTTCATTCCAGGCAGAGTGGTGAGTCCGACCCTTGCTCGCTCCGCTGATGAGAGCAGAGAAATAGAAAAACAAACACTTAAAACCACCAACCCAGGCCTCTGTGGTGCTGCACCGGCTGATAATGCAGACATTCATTACCAGTCCTAGCTGTTGCTATAGCAACAAGTAAGTCCTTTTCCCTGTCAGGGCGCAGAAAACGCATGGAAAGATTAACTTATAGGATTATGGAAATAGATTCTAATTTTGGAACAGGAATTGTCTTAATAATTTACAGACTGAAAAAGTATTATTTTCCTGTAGCGTCTTATTTTCTTACATTTCTAAAAATGAAGGCAAATGCATTTAAAAGGAATTTGTTGCTGTATGACTCTTTCCAGTGACCTTCTCTGTAAACTAGTAACAACCAGCCCTCCTCACACACGTTTACACAGACTCCAGCAGATTTACATGTTTAACACGACCTTGGTTCTCAGAAACCTCAGCTGCACTGCCGCTGTGCTGTGGTAAAAGATAAGATACTCACAAGGAACCACTGAGGAATTGCGGTTCTTCTCCTTGTTGCAGTCTTTGTGGGCGCTGAAGCACTCCACAAAGCGTGCGTTGCACTGAGTCAACAGCTGGTGAGACAGAAAGCAAAAAGCAGACAGTCACAGAAGCCAATGTTTATGTCCCGAGAGTCACCGTGCCTTAAAATCACAAGATGCAATGTTGTTTGACAGCCAGGATCAAGTATTTCACATTAATAATGAGCGGGGGGAGGATCGACAGGAAGTGACATTATGTGCAGGCAATTAGTTATCCCTCTTCTGATCATTCAGCAAGCTTTGCATGAGACGGCAGGGGGGGACAAACATGACTTAATACAGCCAACATCAGAGACGCTTTCAATCTGTTCCCAAAGCCACGGCGCACGCCGCTAACAAGCTCCCGATCCAAAGTCAGCCTTGATTTCAGCCGGCGGTGCGGCCGCGTGCAGAAGGTGACAGCTCGTCTAACCCGACCGGTGAGACTCCCAGGAGATTTGCTCACCCTGAATTGCTTCTCCAGCAGCGTGCGGCCTGTCGAGTTGGGCGTGAGGATGCTGTTGACATAACTATGCAGCTGCCAGGCGGGCACCTCCGTCTCTCTGCTCATGATGGTCTCCATTAGAGCATCGTGGATGAAGACATACTGTTCCTGAGGGGACACGGAGGACATTGAGGCTAAAGGTGTTCGAAGCGCATAATGTCTGTATATGACAAAAAAATAATAAAAAAAAGAAAGATGAGCAAAAGAAGGTTTTTCAAAATGATGATGATATAATCTGATTTCATCCAGATTCTTATTGTAGGTCATTTCTACCTTTCCAGCAAGTTGTCACCCCGATCGGAGATAAAAAACATTTTGTCTGGTCCAGTGAATCCCATTACATGTGAATAAAAGGTTCTGTTGGTAAGTTTTCTAAGTTCCTTCCGTGAAACAGAAATCACGGAGAAGGTCAAATGTGTTTGTTGCTGTAATACTAAAATGCATCATTACACTCAAATGTGAATAATAGAATTCTTGTCTTGAGTTTTAATTTATCCATGCACTCTAAACCAGAGGTACATACATGTTATTTATGTAAATTAAAACTCATCCTGAAAACAAACAGAAAACATATGTTGTAATTTGTGGGTAACATGCCTGTTTGTTTTTGATTGTTGGACAACAACTGTGATGAGCAGTAACATTAGGACATAAAATGTTAAGTGGAAAAAACTGAAACACATAAGTAAATGTAATAATAGCACAGTATAGAACTACTCTAAAGTTCTACTCAAATAAAAGTATCAAAAGTATCAAAATACACAATAGATGACAATACTTGAAGTACCAAAAGTAAGGGATCATTTGAGGATAATTTCATGTGTACTTCAATGTTAAGGCTGGTAAAACGCATTGGCAAAAATGTATATTATTTTGGACACTTTAATGGTGTTTAATCTATAATTACCACTCAGTTGTTAATCAAATGTTGTATTAATGAATTGAACCTGCAGAAGTACAAACACTCTAAAATTAAATTATTGGATTACAATGAACAATTGTTTGGATGTTGGATGGCTATTCGAACCTTGAAGCCCTTTCACAGGTTACTTTTCTAATGCAAAAGAAGGCTTCCTTACGGGTAATTTAAGGGTCCTTACCTCAGTTTGAACTAGGTAGTTGCGTTGTGTGCGGATATGTTTGAGAAAATCCAGAACGCTGACTGTGCTTTTGTCCTTGATCTGCTGCAGCATGCTGTCAATAACAATGTACGTTCCCGTGCGCCCGACGCCTGCACTGGGGGAGCAGAGCACAAAGCAATATGAGCACAATGGCGGGCCCTGTAGAGGGAGCTCTGTACAAAGTCAGCACACGTGAGGTCCAAGCACTCAGAACTAACGTGCACGTAGCACGGGGGCTCGGTAACGCGGTAAGCGGCGTACCTGCAGTGCACCAGCACCGGGCCCGTGTCCGCAGCGCGGGCCGCCGATGAGCGGTTGATGAACGTGAGGACGGGGAGGGTGTACTCTGGTACTCCCATGTCAGGCCACTGCGTGTAGTGATACTGGACAACGATGCGCTCATTCAGCTTCCCCTTCGGGTTCCCCTTCTGACCCTGGAACATGAGAGAGCAGCTGTGTGAGTGTCCAATGCAGACTCTTCATTTACCGCAGGAGGTACGTGGAAGATCACGGCACCAGCATAAGTTCTGTACGCTGACTTAGCTTAGTTAAAGCTGCGTTTACAAACCCCGACAATATACATTTAATTACACAAAGTGTTGTTTCACAACTACGCCTGGACACATGTTTCTGCATGTCTTTCGGTAGAGCATAAGGCTTATGTAGTGCTTGGGCCTGACAAATGTTATTTTTGGAAGTGACGCAACATAGACTTTTCTTTGTTTACAAGATTGCCTTTGACTAGATAGTATCACTAATGTTTCCAGGAAACAATTTAGAAATCAATTTATTTATTGTTAGCATTTGGTATTTACTAGCTAGGAGATCCAGCACAAGTCAGTCAATTAAAAGTTTGACTTTTAACATGAACTTGCTACGTAATGAACAGCTAATGCAACCTAATCCAGTTCAAACAAAACAAGAGTGCGACTTTGAGTTACCTTTTTAACCTTCGTGTTTCTTATAAGGAAACGCCGCAGTGTGTAGCAGGCGTGCACTTTGGTGCTTTTTGGCGTCACCACGATGTTTCCATACTGCTCGCTGTTCTCTGTTGGCCAATACTGGTCACATTTCCTCTGAAGGATACAAAACAACCACAATCCATTAGATACCAAATACATGAAGGGATTTGTTTTTCTTATTCTTTATTCAGTTAATAATATTGAAGTGAACCTACTCTCCCTTTCTCCACCAGGTTTGTGATCATGACAATGATGCTTGTGTTCTGCTCCCACACCATCCTCCAGAAGTCCTCGAATGTGGACTTGAGGGGGCCCTGAGCCGCTATGTACGCTCTGGGACGGTTGTAGCCCTGAAACAGGAGATTTCACATTGTTAAGATGCAATCAATAGTCTACCAATGACAGAACCACTCACATAGCTATGAGGACTGGTTTACTGAGCCAGGTAGGTCACGACATCTTCTCCTTCAGCCGACAGAAACTCTAAATATTCATACATGAATCGATATTCTTAAAAAAAAGATACAAGATTTGTGTTCGCTCAGACTGATCTTCGTACCCAAATTATTTGAAATGAAAGAGTCAAAATGTATCGCCACTTAGCACACGCTACAGGAAAGGAACATGCAAATACAAAATAAGTTCGAAGCGTCAAACCAGTCACTCACATCCACGTAGTTGGCATTGATGTAATCCGAATGTTTGGCATCTTTGCCCGCAAGAGCTCGTAATTTCACCCTGCTGTGGTCGTCTAGGGAGAGAATAGATATATTTTTGTGGATTACTAAATAGACAGAAACATGTTATGAACAGATTATTGGATTGTGTAGCAATAAACATCATAATCGGTTGTTATAGCTGACTCACAGGCCACGATGTTGATGTATCTGTTTTTGTGCTTGTTGTCAGGGTGATTGGAGTGCTCTGCAGTGATTTTCAGGTCTGCTGTGGAGCGTTGAACCTCCTGAGGAGAGGGATGGGTTTGATCAAACAAGGATAATAGATGTAATGGAATAACCCTAAACATGTCAGATTTATATGTATCAAATGTTCTCTAAAAAAAATGCGACATTTTTCTTCTTTTAAAAATCGCATTTCTCTAGAAGGAGCTCGGGATGAACTGTCGAGCAGGTCAAGGACACTTCAGAGGAGCAGATGCTTTCCGCCAAAGGGCCTTGAACTCTAGCCTTGAGTAGTCCAGCCCTTCATCTCCTCTTCTTCACTACCACACTGCACCCATCGACCCGTACAATCCAACAATCATTTTTCCAACACAACTTCATTGCGAGCCATTTCGAAAAAATTATGCACGCGGGCTTCACATCAAATGACCCCAATTAGATGGAATCCTCTAGGGGCAAATTTCTTTCACTTTTTCTCAACCTGGTTATACAGAGAATGCGTTTCCATCCAAGCAACCAGCAGATAGAGCCTCTCTAATTAACCTCTCTCTCTCTTGATCTTTCTGTCCGTCTCTTTCACATCCATCTGGCCAAAAGCAAGTAACCCTGCACAATAACACATGCATAAAATAACCTCTCAACCCCTCTGCAGAACAAGGCCCAGTTACAGACAAAGTGCTCACAGCAGAGGGGGAGATGAAAAGAAATGAGTCAATCAGTACGTATTGTTTGATTCAGTTCAAACTAAAATGTGCACTTTGCCTGTTTGGCCGGGTTTGTTACAGGTCCAGCGTGTAGGATTTAGGGGCATCTGGTAGCAATGACTAAAGTAGCAGAGACAAAGAATTGTGGTTTTTGTTGCATCACCATGTTTCTACAGTAGCCAAGAACAGACCAACCAAACATTCACTGGTTCTTTTTTCCACGTTACCTGCAGACCACCATTTGGTTCTTACGTCCAACCTCACCACTCAGCGGTACTAAAAGCAATGATGGCGTGGAAAGCTGTATTTGGAACTTTAGAACACTAACAACCAGACCAAAACCACCTCGTTTTGTAGTTTACCTCCAAGCAGAGGCTGCGGTGACATTTGCTTGTGTGAAAGCAAATTGAACCGTTCATTTATTAATTCATCTGCAGAGTGGGAACTGTCAAGAAAGCAATCCGCCGCTAATAATGGGTGAAATGCATGAAACCAGCGTCATTATAATTTTGACACGGCTCCTTGAGACACTATAGAACAGAAATAAACCCCTAACACACCCATTTCTTTCCCTTTTTACGGGCCAGCTGAACCAAACTCTGAAGTAAAACCAACATTTGTTGTATGACGAAGGTTAACAATGCATCAAAACAAATCATTATTGCAGTAAATTGTACCTCAAAGTCCTCAGAAAAACCTTGCAGGTTGTTCTTGTACAGCTCCATGATGTGTTTGATGAACTGCTTGACGGGGATGGCGTCCATGTCGTCTGCAGGACAAACACAGTGAGCAAAGTGCCCATTATTGTGTGTGTGGTTTGTAATACACTGGTTTGTTACCCACCACCATCTATTCTGAAAATGGGTGTACATGCGTGAATGTGTTTGCAATACATAGTAACCAATGTGATTCGTTTTCGTTCTTAGGCGTGCTGTTTTTACGGATACAAATCACAAATCTAGATTTGGTGGCCGGAGCGGTTTTAGACGGGAGCGTCTGTCTCATCGGAGTCAAATCAGCCCCAAATCACACACGAGGGATCTTTGATGAGGCTGGTGACCATCTCGACGGGTCAATAGGTCAGGGGACCCAGCTGTCATTGCTGCTGGTGCTGGCAAATGTTTTAACTAGTACACCCTCGCAGCTGGGGCTGCTAGGACTGTTAACTTGCCTCAGTGGCTACAGTGGAAAGGTGAATTCTGGATTAGTAATGTGTTCATTCATCAAAATGTCCTCCTCTCTATTGGTGTCAAGAGTTACTCATCAATCTAATCAGTTCATTCTAATTGTCTCGGGGTGAAGAGTGGCTTTAGATATATAGAAAGGCTGATTAGGCTCAATTTATTATAACATTAGACTGAGGTATGTTCACATTTCTCGCAGTATAAATGATATTAACTGCAAAATCATTCTGTCATTTTGCACTACAAATATATAAAGATAAGTCATCAGTCTTTAAAGCCATTATTCTATGCAGATTCAAATCTTTTACTTCATCAAGGTCATGGTCAGTCATGCAGATAATATGTGCTGTAAGGAAATTGCCGTAGCTGCTGTGGAGGAGAGCGGACAGAAAGAAAAGGGGAAAACTAAAGAAAGGCAGAAAGAATGAAAAAGACGGGCAATAAAAGGCTAATGAATGTGGAGTCAATACTGGCATCAACTGAGCTCTTTAACTGTGATATCCCAGCCTTGAAATGTCCCTGAGCTGTAAAGTCGTAAAGTCTGATATCGACAAGCTGCCACTGCGCTGCACATGGGATATTAAAGGCAACAAAAAGACAGCTACACAATTCCTGCTGAGGTGCTCACAGTCATTTCACACACAAAGGGACAGAAACTGGGCAAACACAGACTATTGTTTGTTGATGTGCCCTTCATAAAAAAGCATATACCACTTGTACTTGTACTCAATACTTACCACCACTTTTACATTTTTGGACTCTCTTGGAAACTTTTATTCAAATTAAACAACTACTAATAAGAATAGAGTTCATTTAAAGATCTACCCGTTTCTTTCAAACCACCTTTTGTATATTTGAACTTCCTTACTGGCTTGTTCCCTTTTACATACTGTTTATCGATGTGTTCTATCTAAGCCATTTTTTCCAGCTAAGAAACTGCAGTACACCCCTGAAGTACACAAGTGCCACACGGGCAGCAAATGATACAGGCACCATATGTTGAGGATAACGATGGCGAAGTCAAGTGAATAAAAGAAAAGAAATGGGGGTTTACCTGGTATGGGGATGATTGGTATATTCTCATTGGGCACCACCCGTGGAGAGCTGCTTTCCTCCACGTAGAAGTGAGCTGTCTGGAAAAATCTCCTACAGGGAAGAGAGAGAAGAACACAACTGTCTCAGTCAAGTCTATTAGGGAGTCGTTAGCACATTGTTCTCAGAGCCCGTCTGTCAACAGCATCCTCTACCAGTCGGATCCTGCAGAATGACGGTCGGGGGAACGGCGGGAATCAGCTAATGAAAACCCCAGAGTGAGCAGAACACAGCTGGCCGCACGCGGAGCAGCTCGTGAAAACAGTCGGAGGGAACTACTGGGGAAAGGTAAACAGCGCACGGCGGCACACAGAGCGACGGCAAATTCAGCTCTTTACTTAGACTGACCTTATCCAAACACAGATATTCTCTGCAGGTCACCACACACCTCATTCAAGAACCCCCACTCCCCTCGAGGACAGTCAAATCAACTCAAGTCAAGCCAGCAGATGCTACGCAATGCACCAGTGATCAAATTAAAAACCTGTATTGACACATTTCATTACCGAGGCCAGGTGGAATTTCTGACATTCTTCTTGTTTCTACATAAAATGCTTGCACGTTGCCTTTCCAATTTCACACAGTAACAAGAGTTCCCAGACCGGAAAACTGTAAAAAATGTGCAGATAGGGTGAAGACAAACGTGCTTTTTAGAGAATAACTTAAAACAGACAGTGGATATTAACAGTTTAGTTAAAAGATGATTGCACATTGTTTATGTTAAAACCTTAAAGCATGTTGAAGACATCCCTCCTCATTTGAACCCAGCTAAGAAAATCACTAAATTATTTAATGACTAGTGAGATGTTATCTATATAGAAGAAATAATCATTTAAAAAAAATCTAGTTCCTCACTTTCTAGAAAGCTCCCCAAAAAGTGAGATTGTGCGAAAACGATTTTTAAGGTTTGGAGTTTGCACAGCCCCTCCTTATTCACACACAATGTGAGTTCTACTAATGAAAGCATTTCCTCCCAGTGCCACCATTTCCAAGTTGAAGTCCTACCTGTATTTGATGCAGAGGAGGGAGCAGATGCTTGTCATTCTTCAAGAGTGATAGAGCAAAAGATGGAGAGAAAAACGGAAAAATGGTTGAAGTGTATTTAAAAAGATACAGGGAAATAAAGAGGGAAAGAGAGAAGGACTAAGAGGGGAGGGTGAAAAACAAAAAGGGAGGAGAGTCCCCCCTCTGGCATGCGTCACAGTCTTCCCACTTGGAGGGGGACAGATGTGGGCGGCCAACTAAACAGCATTGGTGGCACCCCCCTTGTGGTTTTCTAATTTATCTTTGGAGGGAAGATGGGGGGGGGGGAGCTGGGATGGAATAGGCTTTCTGAATGAATGTCAGTGGAGAGATGCATCCCATTCAACACCGGTGTCATCAGCACTGAAGCACTAACGTGAAATGGGATTTCTCATTTCTCAGTTGAACATCTGCAGGTTTTCAACAAACACCTTGAGGCTTCCAGATGTGCCCTGTAAGCCCGGCAATTAATTCCATTGTGGACATAACACACCACTAGAAAATGCACAAGCTGAAAATGAAACAAGGCAATTCATATTCGAAAGATGGGGAACTGATCACATTTTAAACAACATTTTATGATGGAATGGATTGTGATATTAAGTTGTTAATCACCGAAACGTATGTGAGCCAAACACAGAAGAAAAACACACTAAGAGAGACTATGCAGAGCGTGAAGAGTGAAGAGAGTGAGAATGGGCTTGATTTCATCTTCCATCAGGGTCTTTTCCCCCCAGAGGAAGCGGCCGTTGTCTGTCAGTGTGCAGTTGTCACAATAACAGCTGTCATGGCTAATTCTAATCTCAAAGCTGCCCCTGCTCTTCTACTCAAATACCAAAACAGTCAGTAAGCGTCCGCTGACTGAATCACTTGAAAAAAAAAATGCACATTTCAAGTATCAATAAATCTCAGGTTGTAAATAAAGATAATTGCCAGCCAACTAGAAACAGACCAACCGGAGACAGTAAATATGCATGTGACCAGCTGAGGATATGGTCCATAGTGACATTTATAACTCATTAACAATCCCATTGTGCCAATGGCCTGGTTGTGTAATTACTGGGGCTCCAATAGCATGCCTAGAAATCATCCCAGCAGATGATGACCCAGCTGGGACCCCTGCTGGCTCTGCCGGGGCCTCCAGGTCTCCTGACACCCGGTTGGGTGATGGGGGTTGATGTACGACGACACGGCCTTAAAGCAGTCTTGCTACCAGACTGTTTGACATTGATGCACACCCATGCATATATGTGCATAGAACCGACTAATCCAAACTAGACGGCGTCTGAATGCCGAGCAGCCCGACTGGAAAATCCTGAAATGTATGCATGCTTGTCACTTAACCACAAATGGAAGATTTATGCGAGGGGGTCAGTGTGGCTTAGGGACAGCTAGTTTGTCATGCCACGCGGAGGGAGCTATCAGCAACCGCCTCATCAAGATGCATACATTTCTGTATGCATGAGCATTTTATTGATTGTACTGTTGTACCAAACTTCAAGACCTACAACGTCCCGTCCGGAATGAGTTGTGGTACGCTGAACTCACCTCCAGTAGACCATCACTATCAGCAGCATTATGAGGCAGAGCAGAGTGAGAGCAGACACCACGACCAAGGGGACGACCCACACCATCCGACTCATCCCCGCCTGAGGGGTTCGCGTTACGTTGGACAAGATGGTCCCGTCTGGAAGGTAACAATCCATCATGAATACATGTTTAAAAGGGACTCTACTAAATTGCACCACCTCATGTGTAGGATCTTTATTAAATTGTAACGTTTGAATGTAGTCTGACGGCGAATGTTTTTACGTTACTTTTTACTTTTTTGTCTCCACGTCAAATGTTTTTTTTGCTAAGCTATGACTTATATCTGTGTATATGTATAATAATGTGAACCTGAGTATGTTCTGAGCCTAATATTTATAAAAAAATAAGCCTACGATGGATAACAAACCCATTGCTCTATCATGGGAAATGACACAAACATTTTTCCTAAGAAAAGGATGAAACATCTGGCAATAAATCTTCAAAATACTCTGAAGCAAACTCTTTGCTGCTCAGAGGGATTCCTTGAGGCAGAATCCCTTTGGCAGATGGCTTATTTCTGCCTTTAGGCCTCTGTGTTGTAGTGACACAGAGGCCTGGAGCTTTATCTTTGACTGAAATGGTAACCAGTTTAGTCTTAAATCAATGTATTTGTTATGCTACATTGGGCTCAATAACCTTTGGTAGTAATTACAGAGTCTGCTTTGGAGAGAGGCTGACTACAAGGAAGAGAGACGTGCAGCCAATTCAAAACAGGTGCGTCAGTCTGGGACGCAACATCAGGCAACACTGTGTCATTTCTGCGTGGGAGAGAGAGAGGAGTGCTCACCGGTGTGGACAGAGAAAGGCCAGACACTCTTGCCGTCGCTGCTGATCTTTGGGGACAGTGTGGAGCTCTGTGGAATCTGCATCTCGGCAGTGTTATTCCGAGGCTCCGCGGTGGCGAATGCGGTCACATCAGCGGCATCCTCCTCGGCATCGACCGACTGATCGTCACCGGTGCTCGAGGGCACCGTGGTGCTTCTCACTGTAGGCCTCCCTCTTCCTTTCTCTTTGGCGGTGGACGCGGGCGTGGGGATTAAAGGCTCTTTGACCACAGTGCTGTTGGCCTGCTTCTCCTCATTACCAGGTGAAGTCTTGTTCTTTCTCTTCTTCTCATCCTCTCCCTCCTCCTGCTCTCCTTCTCGCTCCCCCTCCTTCTCCGCCTCCTCGTCCTCATCTGCGGCCTGCTTGTTCTCAGCCGGCGTGTCTGTGTCGGAGCCCTGCGGCGCCGTCTGCTCGGTGCTGGACTTTGCGGGCGTGACGGACGGACGGGTGGGATTCTGCGTGGCTCGGGGGGCTTTCGTTGGCCAAACGGAGCTGGGCAAAGAAGAGATGACCCCTCCGCCCACGCCCAAGCCTGCCAGCAAGGTGCTCGTCACCACTGATGCCACGGTGGCCTGGCTGCCACTAGAGGAGGGGCCCATTCCCGTTGCCATGGAGACAATGGAGAAGTGGATGCCAGAGGACGTCCAAGTGGAGGAGCCGGAGCTGATGGGAGCCATGTCGGCCGAGGACGCCGGAGACATGGTGGGCTGACACGGACCGGCGGAGAGAAAGTGGTTATCCAACAGAACCGTGAATCTTATTAACATACCAAAATACATTTTCACTGGCATCTTCTCGTCGACTCACCATCCCAGTCTTCACAATACGAGACCCTTCAAATATTCTGGTTGTATTAGCTGTAAAAAAAAGGTATAAAATAAGTTCTTCTTCGGGAATAAATAATGACTCAGTGGCTGGAGGGTTTTGAGCAGGTACCTCTGAAGAGCAGAGTTTGACTGAAATCACTGCGCAGGTCATGCTGGCACACTGCCTGCACTCTGAACAGATACAGGACGTCAGGGGACACGTTAGTGATGACGGCCTTCTGCAAATGAAAAGATACACAAATGGATAAATTTAAGACCACCGGCAGACAGAACAATAAAATGGGTAGATGGGAATACATTTTCAACTCTGGATGCTGTTCATTTATATTGTCCGAGATGAAAAAATACTGTGTTCTGTCAACAGTGAATAACCAACGACTTCAATGCAGTTTGAAACCTAATTTGCTGTCTAATTTAATTGTGATGTGCACTTGGCAGATGGCTTTAGTCATATAGTCCCAGGTTGGTTGGAGGGTTGCCTCTTGCCACTAGCTAGTATATCTTGAAAACATTTAAAGTACATTGGTTTCCAGAGATAGGGAAAAAATAAGAAAGGCCGTCACTGCAACCGGCCGAGTGTATTAATGGCGCGTAATCACATTGAGCACCTCGTGGACACTAATCATTATTTCACTCAGCCGTCTAGTATAAATGTACAGCAACATAAACGTACGAAGCGCAGAATAATGACAGAAACAGAACATGAATATATCCCATAAAAACAACAAAATAACTTAATAATTGTTAAAGTCATCAAGTAGCCAAACACGTTTTACCAGTGAACTTATGTGCTCAAATGTAGGCCTTCAGACGTCCCATATTCCTATTTGGAGACTTGCGTTCCTCAGCACAGATACACTACAGCACGGGGGATAATAATGGAGACGGTGGAGCCTCACGTCGAGCCCGCGGGATATAGAAAATGAATACTCGGGCTGTAGAGATACGACGCCTCTGCCAGAGGTCCTCTAGGAGGAGCGCGGCTGATGGAGTTAAAAGGTCAGTAGCGAAAGGAGGACGCTGAGAGAAGCGGGTTGAAATTGCAGTGAATCTGTTTCTATGTTTAACATCAGAAAGAGTTGTTGTGGCAGCGTGGTTTCAGAACGAGCTGCAGGTGAGACGTGTGCTTCAGAGGGGCGCATGAGTAAAAGGAATGAAAAGCATGTTGATTTACCTCTAGCTGAGAATAGCGTCGGTTGAATGTTGTGGGGCTGTTCTTGTCTGCAGCAAGTCTGATTGCATATTAATTGCGCATAGTTTCAGAAAGCCTCGGTAACTACTCTGCGATGGTTGAGAGGAAATAGTTCCGACATGAAACTGCTCACAGCAAATTCTTTGGATCAGCTTGAGTAACTGGGTCACGGTATCTGGAAAGAGACCCTGCTGTTGAGGTTTTCAAATTAACATATTGTCCTTTAAGAGATGCATATAAACTGCATGGACTAATGTGGGTGTCCGATAAAACATTTCTACGAAATGAAATCCGCTCCTCCTCTGGCTCAGATTCTATGAATGTGGAAAGGCTGTGAAAGGAAAATGTTCAACACCTTAAAAATATAACGTCAAATATATATGTATAATACCGAGGCCCATCTTCCATGTGTCTGCATCCTCTCGCGTTAAACAGCTTTTTACCATCAAAATGTAATACACAAACCTGCGCAGTAAAGGTTAAAAATTCAAAGTGAGGTAAGCAAAAACAATTCTCAGGTTGAAGGGGTTAAGACCTAAAGTAATAGCTAGTTTCTAAGCATCAGAGGGAAGGGAGGATAAAACATGTACAACGGTTTACAGCAATCCCTTCACATCCCCCTTGCTTTGTGTTGGTTCCTCCAATCAGCCAGTATTATTCGCTGGTGATGCAATATTGCACGATCCCACACCGGGTTCCCACGCATGACAATGCCAGCCGTGTTTACTGAAAGGCATTCTGGAGGTAGTACTGGCACAAGGGAACTGATACTAGGTCTCCCAACCAGTGGGTGAGGGTTTCGCCCCTGCACTGTTTATATCTAAAGAGTTAGTCATGCAGACTGTCAAGACAGCTGGGGGTCACTGGGCCTTAAAAGAGATGCACAGCTGGGTGTTGGATTCCCTCAAATGGAAGGATATGTGACCAGGGAGAAAATATGTAGTGTGGAGAAGAAAAAGCCCTGTAGGTGTAACATCCTGTTGGGGGAAGGATGTATTTTCTGTGGAGACAGTGCATTTTCAGTTTGAGAGATACGGGAGAGAACGATGTGTTAAACTCCATGTTTAAGGTACACAAGCAGAATTGTGTGATCACTGGTGTCAAAAACATAACTGAGATCTGAAAGACTGCACCGGCACAGTTGCCTGTTTTGGTTGCTAAAAGACGACAGGTTGTCTCCAGAAAGATGCTTCCAATACTTACAAACAGAATGGAGCGATTCAAAATGTTCAAATATTTTCACAGAGAAATCAAAAAATTGAATGAAAGACTTTCGGGATGCGCAATATGGAGTCATTAGCATTAATTACCCACTTCTCACCAGCGAAACCGTCTAGTTGATGCACACTGGAGGGCAAGAAATGAGAAAAGATCAGTTATTTAGTATTCCAGAGCTCTGACCTAACCGAACTGCCATCACTATTTATTATGCAACAAAAACAATTGTTAGATCTGTTTCATCACCTATTTTTTTCTTTCTTTTGAATTTCTATGTGCTATAGAATCATCCACGGCCGTGACAACACCTTTGGCTCTTGAGGAAGATTGCTCGTTTTTTTCTCTGTATTTTCCAGTGAAGTGCAAACAAACGTTAGGCCGTATATATACACTGATATATAAATGATCTATAAGCACATACTGATCCACGTCAGAGACTGAAGAAAATAAAAAGAAATCAGAAAATGCTTAAACTGAGACGAGCCCACAGGCACATTTGACAAGCCATTACATATATATCAGTTAAACTTGTCAATGTGTGCGACAGCCCTCCGCGTCTATTTCCAGACAGGTGAGTGACAGGGGATTGTCTGGCTCCTCATATTAAGCAACAGCAGAGCCCAGAGTTCATCACAATCTGTCACCTCCTATACATGCTGTCAGCGATCAAGCCGCCCTGTGATCTGGCCGGATACATCACCCGCTCTGCAAACCAATGGGAGCGGTTGAAACCCACATCTGGACAGACGAGTCCCGAAAAAAAAAAGCGGCTTCCGTGCCGACGGAGCCCGTTGCCAGTGGCGGCCCGATGAAACAATTATACACACCATGCTTTGGTCCCCGGTCTTGGTGAAGGTCCTTTCGTCGGCAACGTCACGCCTCACCCAGCTGTAGGAGACCATGTAGCTGGTGATTGGTGGGTGGTAAACAGCCAGAGGGCGCTCCCAGCTCACCATCAATGCCGTCTGGTTCAGCGGCTTGATCTTCATGCTCACTGGGGCGCTGCTGCACACTGAGAGACCACAAAGTAGAAGGGGAGTAAGATGTTATAAAAGCAGCATGAAAAGAAAAAAAATACTAATAATAAGGGCACTTTTTCACACGGCGTGAATGCAGGGAAAATGAGGGGCTGTGTAGGGAGGACTGCTTGACCGCATGTGTTTGTTGATGTGTGCCGACAGAACGCGCGTTGCCTTTTATCGAGCCCATCTTTACTGTCGGCACTGGACTCGAAGCCATTTGTACTTGAGGAGCCACAAGGTGCAAAATAATATAGTAACTCAATCACAAAAGAAAAAAAAAACACTCCTGGAGGCTTGACTGGGGTCAGGTGTGCTGTCAGGGCTGATCGTGGACGCTGGACACTTTGTCTCATTTTCACGCTGCACGACTGCGAGAGATTCCAGGTGGAATACCAAACGGCCGGGAGTAGTGGCAAACGTGTGCTGCAGACCGCACCGAAGCTTCCTGCCCATGCGTCATTTTGTACCTTCCTGCCCGTGCAACATCGAGCGGAGAAGTGAAATAACGACAAGGAGAACACGCAAGTCAGCCTCTAGGTGGCACTGTAGGCTGCGGCATTGGATATCTGCAGCGGAGACCCTTCCGTGTGGGTAAAGGACACTCTGGACAAGCTTGTCAGCACATCAGGGCAACAGCAATCAGGGACCAGTGTCAGCTGATTAAGTGCGGGAAGGGGTTCTGTCATATTCAAATTGTCACCACAGTTCTCCATTTACAAAGTGACACTACGGTGCAAATTATGCTCCATGATGTGTGACAGGGTGGGAGGAAATCAGACAGAGGAACACAGGGCAAAAGAAAATACACAAAAGCAAGAATATCTCGGGGTGTTGATGAGGTGTGACAGGTGTGAAATGCATTATAACACGTCAGATGTTCGCTGTCAACTACAGTAGCTGAAAAACAGCCTGTTTAATAATAGCTGAAGACATCGTGGTGGTTTTACTGCCTGGATCATTACCGCCACGTCGGCATCGTCCATTGTTATTTCCATTGGGTTAGAAATGTTACGTTTGTTGGCAATATAGGACTCTTTTTGCTGATGGCGATAAAAACAACTAATTGTTTCCATTATGGGGATTATGAACATTTTATTAACCATCCTGTAAATACCCATCTGTCCCCTCAAGATGTAAGGTAAAGTGATGTAAGGCATATTTTTGACGATCACGGAAATGAAATTTGGCAATATATACAGTACGTGTGCCAAAAAACCCGCCAAATCACCAATTTGTTTAATGTAATTGGGGCAACTTTTCTTAAATGTGGTTTACTGATGAGCAATCATTGTGTCTCCGTATTAATTATAAACTTCATTGAAGCTAGTTGTTAATTCCATGAAACCTTTTAATAAACTGGCAGATTGCCGGCTGAATTAACAAGTGCTCATCTGAATCTGAATCAAAATTTGCATGCAAATGGAATTGTGCCACTTTCACTGTAATCAGAATCACCTAAAAATCTCGAGACAAAGTATGGATTAAATGAAAATGTCCTAATGTTTCATCACTTGCACATGGAATTATCGTGCTATAGCCTCTCTAGTAAAACATCTTATTCATTTTCTGTGAATACACTTATTCTAACATCCCAAAAATCGGCCTCATTGTGGCTTCGCCTCAGTCCACACCACCACTCAAGAGCCGAGCATGATTGTTTCTCCTGGCAGATTCATCCATAAAGGGGACGAATAAACGGTTGTAAACAAACAGCAGTCCCACACGTTCTCTCCTCAGAAAGCTGTTCAATTTGTTTTAAGGAGCCTGTGTATTGGAAAAACAACAATTTCATGGAGAACACAGGGAGCGCTGATTTTCACAGGAAAGTGGAGGTATGCATGTCATCTGAGGGCCTAAATGCAACATCGCAACTACAGCACTTATTTTGTTATACGTGACTGTTGCTACAGCTAATGTCAATCTTAACACAGAATAACAACATTACCACATAGGACATCTTAATATTGAGACATAATACACTTGAGTCATTGCCATCCGGTCAAACATTTCGTTCCAGGCACGATTTGAGGATTTGCCACTTTTCTTTGTCTTTTAAAATTGTGCACCCACTGATTTTGTAAACTAAGTAGAACAAAACCAGCAAGTTCAGTGCATTTTTCCACTTCGACGGAGATTCAATAGACCAAACAATTCATCAGCTAAACGATAGCAGGGTAATTAATAGTGTAGATTAAAACCCTTTGCTAAATCGGTCTTATTTTGAGCTTTACACGCACAGAGTGGCCTATATATCTTTGCATTATTTCTTTTTTTTTTATCGTCCGAACCTGTGTGTTGCATCAGAAGCTACACGTAAAAGCCGTGGTGATGGGACATGCAGTTAAGGTATGGCCTTGGTTCTTACAACATATACAAGCATAACCATCTTTTACTGTGCACAGAGAAATAACCCCCCCATACGACCTTGGCAGCAGTAAATGGTAAATGGACTGTGCTTCTATTGTCTTCCGACCACTCAAAGTGCTTTAACATTACATGTCATCATTCACCCATTCACACCCATTCCCACACTGATGACAGGAGCTACGTGACACAGTGCCACCTGCCCATCAGTAACTAGCATTCACACCATTCGCACACCGTGGTGCCAGCGACAGGAGCAATGTCGGGGTCAAGTGTCTTGCCCAAGGACACGTCGACATGCGGGTCGGCGGGGCCTGGGATCCAACCGCCAATCTACTGATTGGAGGAAGACCGGGCTCTCCGCACACCCACGGTCGCCAGAAGTCACCCCTAGACATAAAGCTGGCACTGTATACCGACCGCGAGAATAGAAATGCAAGCAAGCCGCAAAGAGGAAAACAAGCAATGGAGAAACACAAATGCAGAGACACGGGTCCTACATTTATTCTGCCTGCTGACATAATGCCACAAAAAGCAATTTCACAACTTAATTTGTATAGGTCCATTTTAGCTGTGCCACACATTAATGATGATTGCTGATCGGCCTTGTGAGAGCGCTCAAACTTCATCACAAGCTTCCCCAATCAATTCCCCCAGCCAGACACCAACAACGCCGCTTTACAGCGCTGCAGCCTTTCTCATTAGTGTCAGCATAGTTCCTGTACTGCTCTTTTAAAGTAAGTGCTGCAAGATGCTCAGACAAAAGAAAGACGGAAAAATATAATAACAATGAACGAATACCTCGATTCCCTGCATGGGGTCCGTGCTTTTCGTATAAATGTGTTCTATATTATAAAGATGAGTTGTAACAAAGAAAGAATGAGCGGCGCCTCATCCTGATGCGACAATCTTTTAATCTGACCGTGTTACTGAAATTCCAAACTTGAACTTTGGCTCCAACCTTAGATTTTTGACCTGAGAAATAGCAGAGGTGCTAAATCGAGCCGTCATCGTGGAAAAGAATGGAAGAAGTGTGAAAACCTTCATTTACGCATTATGGACCTGAATGGCTTGAGGATATGTCACAATAAAATGAATTATATACTGTATATTGTTTTCGAATCCAATCCATCGACGATACATTATTATATTGAATTCTAACTCAGCCATATGGACATCTCAGATTCAGCCTTACATGTGCAGTGCCAGCTCGGTGCAGCTCAGACTGCATTTTAGAACACTCAAAGGTGATAATAACTAATGCCATATCAATACAAAAGCTGCTATTTTATTATTTTTAAAAGCCTTCTGCATTAGCATGGAGACGTAGTTGGACACTATTTAAATGAACAGTTCGACAGTCTCAACACAAGGGCCTATATGGAACCTAACTAAGAGGTTGTGGGTTTTTTCAGCCGCTCTAAAACTACAAGAAATGATACAACAGCAAGTCACGACTGTAATTACAGGAGACCTTTGGGTTCGACCGCGGCGCAGGAAACAAAGCCTTACCTCGTGACGCCTCAGTGCTGTGAGGGCTTCCCAGGACTTCAGTTAAATCCTTTTGCCATGCATCTTTTACAGCCGACTTAAAGACCTTCCTGCTGTCAAGGTCCTGCAGCGGCCGGAAGTTGTTCCTCAGGTACTCGACAGACTTGACGTGGTCCTGTTGCTCTGTAGTAAAGATGGAGTAAAAGGCCTCCAGCTAGATGGAAAGAAACAGAGAAAATAGCCTCTGAATAAGTTATTTTTTACTATGGGTGTGTGTGATTGTGTCCCCGTGTAAAATATAATATATCACGCAGGTCTGCATTTGTAGCCACTTGAATGCAGCTGACTGTTCACAACTGGAGCAGAGGATTTGTAAGAAACACTTGCACCACAGGCACCAGCAGGCACAAACCTCAATCATCATCCTGGCTACCTAGCGGGCTGTAACTTCCCGATGGGGCAAATTTGTGGCCATTGATTGCCAGGAATGATCTCCTGCCGAGTGCTGTAATGACTCCACATTACAGATACCGTGGAATCAATGTGTCCTATGCGTACTTGAAGAAATAAATTACAGGTTCATAACAAACTATCTATGGAGCGTCACAGACATAGTGCCGGTGGTCAATGCGCTTGCCGCAGAAGTCATTTCTGAACAAAAGATTTGTCCTCCTGCGAGTTAATAGAAATTCCACCGAGGCCTGCAAATTTCTACGGGACGGAGCGCTTTGGAAGATATGCAGCGGAGCAACCCGAGAATTGTATGGATAAAGGAGGCAGCAGTAGTGTATGGGATCAGCTAAAAGCATGGGATATGATTTGGCATATATTACTACTACTATAGCACTATCAAAGTTACAAATCTAAAAAAAATGCTCTTAAGCAGATAAGTGAAGCCTGTAAAATACCAGATTTTGCAGCTACCATGTGTTAAACCTTTACTGCCATAGTTTAAATGAATTGACATTCAAATTATTGAACATTTCTGCATTTTAACAACTGGAATGGTGTGATAACCAGCCTCCGTGGGCAGCAGTCCTATTCAAGACCTTATTCTTGCTGTGTCAGACTCAAAAACATGATATATATATGAAGGTTATCTCATTTTTATTTAAATGCCAGTAATTGGCAGCCGCTTCCTGCTTACTCATCCACTATATAAGCCGTTATGGTTTTATATGTAGAAGCGCTGGGGAGGAACCAAGGAATAAGAGAAGATGGGGAGAGGGAGATCAGACGTTTGTGCACCGATACTGTTGAACAGTTAAGTGATCCACGAAATGTGTGCAAATGGAAAATACAACTATCTAAGCATGTGTGTGTGTGTGTGTGTGTGTGTGTGTGTGTGTGTGTGTGTGTGTGTGTGTGTGTGTGTGTGTGTGTGTGTGAACTTAACACACCTGTGAGTGGGATAGATACACTGGCCTGGAGAAGACGATCCACTCCACCACCTTGATGCAGGGCGGTGTGGTCAGAGAGCCGGTGTATCGGTAATAACTGCCCAGTGACGATGGCAGCAGATCCCTCAGGATGAACGGCCGCAGGTTGGTCTCCTTTTCTGGGTCGAGAGGGTAGGATCAAAAACACCACGTTTTCACCACCCTTAAAAGCTTTGCTAAGAATCCTGACCCCTCGTCAGCGGCATTTCAAACGGTGGTTTCATTGTCCCCGTGGCATTTTAACCGCTTTCGTGAAGCCTCTGCAAGTGGAATGATGGTGACAGCAGTTAAAAGCCTCACAACTTGTTATCCCCCTGGCCAGATCTCTTTACTCAAGAGATCTCCCTTTGGTCCTGTCTAGAAAGGAGCAAAGGGAGGAGAGTCAGATGAAATGGCCAGCTCTGACAGCTGATCTCCGGCTGGGTGGTTTCCTGCTCTGTTGCGTGTAACAACTGTCGCATGGGCCACGGGGATTAAGACAGATCCAGACGATTACCGGATCTGTTCTATCCTTTGTGATCAGAACCAAGGCACGGCCGTTTTGCAAGTGGGCTTGTTGGCTGAACCCCCCCCTCCCACGCCCCAATAAAGCCACGTTTAGGTAAAATCCAATATCTCACAGCTTATTAACTTATCTAAAAAAAGCAGAGGCTTTGGGGCGATACGACTGATAGGACTACTGAGGCACTGGATGCCTCGCCCCGTGCCTCATCCGTACTCAAAGTCAAATTCAGTATTCACAGCCTTTCTTCTCCCCGTCTTCAGACAGCGTACGTGCCCTATCGCTCGTGGGCCGCCGAGATGCTGATGGATGGATGACTGTGGGATAACGAGCTAGCGGAAAACCAACCACCCTAACGGGAGAGGAGGCGAGGAGCATTTAGCAGCCAGCAGGAAGTGAGTCCAAACCCCCCCCCCACACACACACACACCCACCCACACCGAGCCCTCTCTCATCTGGGAGATGAGGGATACTGTGGTGGTAGCACGAACATCTGTGAAGGGCTCAGACGCTGTTCGAGGCTGACGGAGATTCACAAAAGAACCTAGTAAAACCCGGCATGTTTTGGCAACCCGCCTTTATCAAGGTTATAACAAAAGAACGGTTGAGCTGAAATACCTCTGTGAAATTAAAACCCCAGGTGAAATGGCCTCCCAGCCGATAATATGCCAATCAGAAAATGGGCCAATTTCTTCACTGCAATTACCGCAATGGAATTTTGAGTGTACAAATTGAATTGAACAAAGCGACCCATTTACTGAATCTCGAGCCTATTCACGCGCTTTTTAAGATTCTCTACTGGTTCTACAGAGTAAGCTGTTCTATACTCACATGTGTGTCTTTGTCCGCCTGCAATGCTCAACTCAGAAGTCATAAAACGTAACGAGCGCACAACACCATACAGTCATCTCCAGGAAGTAGGGAAATCGGATTGTGAAATGGCCCAATGAAGCCCCGGCGGCAGCCCCGTGAAACCGGCGTGAACATTTACGCTCTGCTTCTATATACATTCCCATTTATTTACTTGTCCTTGTCAGTGTAGGATCACGCTCGCATACAGTTATGACCGTCAGCACCTGCTTGTAAAACGCGCCATGCGAGTCAGGGGTAAACAGAGTCCCCAGATGCAGTAGACGATTATAAAGCCATGTTATATCATCTGCTGATGAATGACAACGTGTGCAGCGCCGCGGCAGAAAGTTTACATCATTTGTCACGGACGCAAAAACAAGACCTAAACATTTGACGTTTGAATACGAGCCCCTGCAGGAGTTAAGGGCCACAATCTACACGTGCATGTCTGAGCAGAATTAAACAAGAGTGCTGTCTAATTGAGGCCCCGATGTAATTAATAGCTCTTCCCCGGTAAGTGAGGCTCCTCAGAGGTCTCCCATTGTGCAGTTGCATAAGCAAAGGAGAGGCGGTACCTTGCAAATTTGGCATCCTTTTGAAGTTAAACTCTGCTCATTTTTTGTGTTTAGTCTCTAATTTGGGGGTTTGAAAATAATTCAGACCAATGGTTACGCAGCAGAAGGCGAAAGCATTCATCTTGGTTTGTAGGGAGAAACAGCAAGCGAGGAACACAATATCTGCGATGTCACGACCAAGTTGATTGTTCATTTTGATTTTCAAAAGATTAAAAGCGGATTAAATGTCCCACATGAACTGGATTCTCATTGTATTCTCTCATGTCAAAGGGATTTGGGTTTGACAGAAAAAATATATCAGTGGGTACCTAAATAAATAGACAGCATATATACATACATACATACATATGGATTACTTACCATGATGCACAACTCCTTTCAAGCCCTGGATGATGGGCTCTACAGCTGGATTGTCTTTTTGACCCAGCTGCAGGAAATGTCCAGAGACAAAAGGATTACAAAAGGGATTACGAGACTCAAGCAATAATCCAACGTAGCAACTAAGGACAATCAATATCAACACAATAAATCATCAGGTGGACACAATGAGGACAACATCTCTATGATACAATACAAATCTAGCGTCAATTCTGGCAATAAATCAATTATTTGTAATTGTGAAGTCTGTCTGTCTGTTTTTTTTGAAGCACAGTTGTTCTTGGTGTTGTGCCAAATTGAAGTACCATGACATTCATCATTAAATACCTTGCTTATCAGTATGTAATACTTCTTTGAGGGAAATGATGTTTACATTTTCACCTCAGATCTTGGGGGAGGACTAACGCCAGAGGTGATTCCCTCTTTCGCTATAAAGGCCTCGTTCTAGTTCCTTTAACTGAGTGAAGACAAGCAATTATTGTTTAGCCATCTTCAATATCTCCAATGTCCTACTTAAGAGACAGGAATGGACAAAACAGTATTGGGCTGCAGGGACCAGTACTTCCTTGCTGAACATTAATTCAGGTCATTCAGAGGAGAATAATTGTGTGGAAGTGAATGCTGAATGTGGATAATATGCACACCTTAGAAGCCATTAATAGGCCTCTGGGGAGCAAAACAAGAACTCTCCTCATCGATTAGAACTGCTAAATCTGAGCCAATGTGCGCGTGCCCGCTTAAAAACGTCCTCCGCTGTAAACTGCTATTCAGCGGCTTGTGCATATGCCGGGGCCCTAATTGCAGTAAGCAATTGGTCTGTCAAGATCCAGCGGAGGCATTTAGGTCCACCAACACGCGTGGTTTATCAGTGTCTAGGAGTAAGCCTACATTACAAACACCCTGTGTCCCCATTCCTGCCGCCCTCTTCCTGGGAGCTGACCCTTGCCTGTATGCTTTTAAGCTGAAACTTAGCCCACATTGATTGCCTGCCATCAATTGCAAGGAGATTGCTAGTACCAATTTGCAGTGCAACGTGTGCTGGGCTGAATGCTTTTTCACGGTTCATAAATCTCTGAGGTGTTTTTACTGTTAACTGAAATTAGGGACCATTCATGTCCGTTAAGTTTATGTGCGCAGACGTTCAGGCAAGAGTGTGTTTGCAATTCAATGAGAAGTCGGCAATGTGCCGCGGAAATCCAAAAAAGTAACTATGTAAAGTCACAACACAGGTGCTAAAGACCAATTCCAATAACTATTTATCAGCCTCAAAAATCATATTTACATCTTCATCCCTTTCATAATTGGCCTCATACAATTAAAACCATTCTCCTTATAGTTCCCCACAAGGGTCTAATTTCCTTGGTATGATTTCCTATTTTCTTCTTGTTGTCATCTGCTCTTATTACATGTAATCATCCATCTCGTTGGGTTTGCCAGCGGTAAGGATAGTTTGTGTAAATAAAATCATTTAATAAGCCTGTGAGAAAGGATATATAACACAAAGGCCATTTCCTCAACAGGACAACTAAAGTTTTCCTTAGAACTAATGCAACTAGTACCTTGTGACCTAACCAAGTTGTACGTTCTAACCAGCCGTACAACCAGACGACATAATGAGGCTGTACAGCAGTGCGTTGTAAACCTACAGGGGATCCGGGGGCTTTAAAGTAGAAAAATAAATCCCATTGAGAATCAATTAATCTTTTTCATATTGAATTGCAGAATGGTCGGTGGACCACCTGGCCCCCTTAGGGGGTTGGGGGGGGGGGGTTTAAGTCAATATCACTGCACTCGAGCCATGCTGCTATTACGGATGAAACATGTCAAGTGCACTCGTCACCAGGTCTGAAGGTCAAGACTGTGTAATCTTGAAAAAAAAAAAAAAAAACAGGAGACACTTACCTCAAAGAAAACTGCGATGGCAGCAATGATGCGTCTTTCCTTGATGGCAGCACCGAGGCTGTCAAAGTCATCTGCATTGTAGAGGTAGATCTGCATCTGGGGTGGGAAACAGAGCATAAACAGCTTAAGGAGTGGACCAGGAGAACCAACGGTCCCGTCATCAATCACTCCGACACGCTGCTGACGAGCTGATGAAAAGCTGTGTTGAGGGGGATAAAAAAAAATAAAAAAAAGAGGGGGGTGTATTTATTACTCCGGTAAATCTACCATCATCTGTGTCATTCCTTTTTGTGTTCTGCCACTCTTGGGGGGACGTTGGGAGAGATACAGTGTCCTTTTTCCCCAGGGCGAATGTCCTCACATAGATAAGTTACAGGCAACTGGAGGAATCTGCCCTTCTCCCGTGGAGAGATCTAAGAGAATTGCATGCTTGTAATCATTGCTTCCAATTACCTTGAATCACAGACAACATTACGTCTGCCTCAAGACTAAAAAAAGCTTTGCCGGCGCGTGTATATGAAGTGAAAAACCATCATACGCCGATAAGAAATACATTTCCATTCCTTTTCTTTTCAAAGCAGACATATTATGGGAGTGCTGATCAAAATCAGCGAATGATTCTAAAAGTAGCAATTGGAGCTGTCCATCATCTCGCTGACTCCAGCCTCTTTAAAATGAAAAACCCTTTCATGTCACTGAACCAAGTTAATTGCCAATAAAAAAAGGTCCTCCATGTTGATTTAATTAAAGGGTATGCTTGCATTTTTTCAAAAGAAAAAATTACGAGAGGGAAAGAAAAGAAAAATCCTGCCACAATTGGCTGTAAAGAAAACAAAAGCAGAAAGCCTAAATAAATAAGCGTATAAATATTGATAAATCCATAATTGTGTACTAAAGGCCTGAAATAGGTCCAAAATGACTCAATCCCAGATCATTTAAGTTAATTAGCTTGCTTAGATTTCCTTTAACTGCAGCCTTGAACGGAATTAATTTGTTGTGCAAGAAAGAGCTGCAGCTATTCATCACCCTTCAGATGTTATTAACTACATTACCCAATTAAGCCGCCCCCCCCCCTCCCGCCCCCCACTGTGTAGGCTTCATTTTCTCAGTGACCACACGACCACATGACCTGCTCTTATTAACGGCCCAGTGGAAATCGCGATATTCAACTGTCGAACGCTTTCATCGGAGCCAATGAAAAGACAAACGTTGGTGAAATCACTTAGAGCGACTGGATCAGTCGCTCAGTTTGTTCCCTTGGATGTTTACGAGCTCTGGCACGAGGCCCCGAGTAAACTTCTGTCACATCCTGAGATATCTCCAGAATTTGGGGATTTCGAGCAGGACGAACAGGTGGTCTGACTAATTTTTAAAGCTCTCTAAATAATTCATACATGTTTGTTTTGTCAGCGCTAAAGCACCACACTGTTGTACAGAGAAATATCTAAAGAAAATCTCAAAATGGTCGGTACCAACAAAAAAAAACAAAAAAAACAATGACGGCTGTCTTAAGCCCAGAAAAACAAATAAAAACATCATTCAAGCTTCATAACTCCCCTCCAGTTTTGTCTGTGGAGCAGACCTTTCACAAAGTGAGTGCAAACACACGCTCAGAAAGCTGCTCTGCATTCCCAAGTTCCATTTAAGCACAAACAGGTGAAAAATCAAAGACATGTTTGACCTGATTTCCCAAGCCAGCGACATAAGAGCAAACTACAAGAAATAAGATTGTGTGCAGAGAGATCTTGGATTTGGCTCAGCAGCACAAATGTATTCTTCTTTTCTCACTTTACAAGAGAGCAGCATTCTGTTGTTTGCTGTTATGTGGTTGTTTTTTTAACCGTGTCCTTTAACTTTAAGCGCTACGGCGGATCACAACATTTGTAGAGTGCATGTTAATGTTTTCACATACTGACAGGAAACTTGCAACGGAAAATGGAAAAGGAGAGCAAGCGAAAAGGATGGGAGTGGATTATGCATTATATGAAATATAATCAGAATCCTGGTGTCAATTTAAAACAACAACATACAGCGCAAAAAAAGCGCACAATGATTCACTATAAGGTTTACACAACTGCACGTTTTCCTGTTTTCCTTAAACTAATGGTGGCAAACAACTACCCAGTAAACAAACAACTGGTCCCAGTGGAACAACCAACATCAAAGCAGAGAGCCTTGAGTGATTGTAGTCTCCCCTCATATGGAAATACGACCACGTGTTATGTGGAGGATTTGTTTCTTTCAGATGGTATAAAGATACATTAATCCTTTGTCCTTTTATTGCCGCGGTGACCCTGAGAGCTTAATTCACTGCAAATTAACACGTGCAAGTACACAAAACACAAGAAGATGGAAGAAAACCGTCTCTCAGAGAGTGTATCCTCGGCCCCTAGCGTTAAGGCGAAACCCCACTGATGGCGATTCCGTAATTGTTTTTCTGTATTTATGGTCCTTTCTGTGCTCTCTACTTTTAGCATGTGTGTTGAGCACTCAGGGTGGCCGCATCCGCCTCCATTACTCCTAACTGCAGCGCTGCTTCCAGGAGCTCTTCTCGCTGTACACTCGTTCAGTTCATACGGCCGCAGTACTTTGTGTACCCTTCCCGAGGTGTGATTTGTAACCCATGTATAATTAATCGGACCTTGGCGACACCCTAATATATTATTAGAAAATATCTCCTTATTGTGTCCCGAGGCCGAAAAAGAAATCCGCTGTTTCATTTTTCATCGTGCTGTTTGAGCGAAACAGGTGGTCCACCTAACGATTTCTCTGCTTCACTCTCATGGAAGAGACGGCGGTTAGATTAATGTCAAGCTCGAGAGCCAAAGGCTGTGCGGTTTCTTTTTTTTTCTTTTTACATGACCATGTTATAAAAGGCAGAGGCGCTCTATAGAGTGTGTGTGTGTGTGTGTGTGTGTGTGTGTGTGAACTATATGTGTTTTTCAAGCTTCTAAGGAGGTGTAAAAACATTTTTGTGGGGTTTTATTCTGAGACCATAAGAATAAATGCTTCATGCGCCGCGCTACGAGTAACTCCGGGCGGAATGTGAATCATTTGAAGTGGAGAGATAATTAGACAGCAGATTGGAAAACGTTCTCTGTTTAGCAGAGACAAATAAAGCCCCTGAGGTCAACCTCCAAGGTCATGCTGCTCGACTCGCGGAGAACAAAAGACACACAAAACAAAACAATAGCCAACATCTGCGGTGAAAGATCACTGCACATGTTAAACACAAACATTTATGAACACAGCATTTCCCTGCGCATGCTGTGTCAGATGTAACGCAATATTACAAAATAAATCCAACTGTGTCAAGGCATACATATGAATATGGCACATCTTATAGGACGGAGTATAATGGCCAAAGGCTCGATCGCGCATAACCACGTTCCCTTTCAACCATACATCATTTGATTTCCCCCCTTCAAGAGTGAAATAATACATCATGTTTGATATATGCAGTCGAAACTAATGATAAAGAGAATAATCTAAGTGTTAGCAGTCCTATTTCTGCATACATGGTGCACATGTTCAGCATGTAGTTAACAGGAAACGTCTTTGCGGATGGAATATTACTTTTTGTACTTCCTGTAGCAAAGACTATGCATTTCTCATGAGGATATGACTAATATGTTGCCAGGAGTCGCTGTACGTTATTAGGCTTGTTTTCACTTAAAGATGTTCCTTTGACCATTTTGCCATGGTGTCCTTTACAAAAGCCTCAACGCCGTCGTGCTGTGTGTAACTCGTATGAGGTCCGTGTCGACAGATTAAATGCTACGAGAAGATTTGCATCCAAATGGAAGAGCTTTTGGTCAATTCATCTGCCTAAACCTAAGCAGGAAATACACGGATGCATGAGCAAAAACACTCTAAAGCAAACGGATGTAGCCCCTTCGCGACCAACAGTCACGTTATATTTTCTGTCTCCATTTCCAATGGGTTTTAACCGATGATCATTTAACCTGGATAGTTTATGCACACGAGTAGGAATCCATCCGTGACACCGAGGCTGAGGCAAAAACCTACACACAAAAACGTACAAAGCTACATTGTCCATTTCTGAATGAAGAATCTAAAAGGGCAGAAGTCCAGTCTTTTCCTTCTTGCTCAGCTTTTCTTCTAAAGGCTCCCTAAATTGGTCGTCAAAGAGATTCCCATTGTCTCATGTACAGGCCATTACAGGAGCCGTACGCACAACAGCTTCATAACGGCTGTGTACAAGTCAGTGCCCTTTAACACTACATTGAACACAGTGATGTGGCAGAAATGAATCTAATTACTCAGCCATTCAGCATCAAAAGCTTTGCCCCAAACAACAGGGCCAAGAAACCAACACAGGAGGACGTTAGCTGCGTGTTTGGAGATAGGACTCACTAACAGCCTGTTTTCACACACTGTTATATTTACACTAATTATTAGCGTTTGACACTAGGGGGGATACAAAAAGAAATTGTATAATCCCACAGAAAGTAAGAGTAACACACATTCGCTAATTCATTTCAGATAATGACATTGTAAAAGGCACTAATAATTCATTATCTGCACCACACAGAAATAGCAGGATTTCTGCTTTAATCCAAAAGCCAGAATAAATAATGCTGAAAGGTTTTGGATTTAATACCCTTTATATCTGTGCTACAAAGAGTGGTCGCTAATTTATTTTCTGCTTTCCTTCATTTACATTACAGTGAGAAATGGGTTGTGACCTTGTGCAAAAAGCCCTTTTAGAGCAGGAAACCTCCAAACTTCTGCTTTGTGCTTTATCTTAATTAAACTCTAGTCTACCAAACTTTTATTCAATGCCTTTTCACTTGGCTTTCTTTGATGACATTTTTCCTATTTTTTATTATAAATGCTGTAAAAGAAAATCCAAATATGTTATTATTGTATTTTGATTAACAACTGACAAATTAACAGCATATTTTGAAAAATAGAAGCCAGTTTATTGTTTGTACAGTTTTTAATTCCTTAGTTTTTTGTTTTTTTTAAAGAATTTCTCCAGTAATTTAATTCTCTATTGTACTTGCACATAGTTAAGGAAAAAAACAATAAAAAAGGTCATGGTCTAAGTCTGCTAGCTATCGTACTTTTAAAATCGTCCCCTTTCAGTATTATTTAGGAAGACTGCATTGAATTGTGTCGTCTTTAACAACGAGATTCAACCCAGTGGTGCTTCTTGGAGATGAGCTTTATGAATTTTAAAAGCATCAATGTATGGCATCAATTCTGCATTTGGCTTCAATATGAACCATTATGGACTCACATAGCACATCTGTCAAAATATTTTGTGGTGACATGATACTTTACCTCTACGGGAAACCTTCTGCCATTAATACTGTGTTCCGAGCCTGCTGACCCATTACTATGGCCCCAGTGGAACTCCATCTTCTCAGCCTTAAAACGCCCCGGCAGACCAGCGCCTCTTACAAAGTAGTCATCCTTCAGGAGGACAGCAACTGGAGACAGACAGGGGCAGAGCAAAAAGGAGAAGATCCAATCAAACAAAGTACAGTCATGCAGAAGCTCAGAGAGGCGGCGGCTGCTCGTTTTCGTTCTTATCCGTTATCTACATAACTACGTATCTATAAGATCAAAACTGCAATCTCATTATCTAAACTCATCTGTTCTTTTCTCCCACATCTCAAAACAACACATTTCCATTGGGTGGCGTTCATATCTAATGTAGAAGCTTTATATCCAGAGACGATGAACTTTGTTATCTATAAATCTCAAACATTTGAGGTTTTCTATAACATTGCGACACAATGCAATTTCTACCTGCTTCAGCCAGTGAATAATTTGTTTATCGGATATAATCTCTCCCTGCGACATTGTTGCTATGGACTGAAAACCTGGCATGGATGGCAGACTCGCTCTGATTTATGCTAGTGGTTAATGCATATGCTAACAGACTCCCCGCTTCCTTTGCCACTCCAAACTTTCTTCATGTTCCACAAGCTGCCTTGTACACAGACAAGGTTTTGTTTTCAAACTATTACGCAAATGATCTTGGCTCAGAGGGATGCAAGAACAGCGAGAGGGAAACTAGCTACCTGGCAACCCACAGGCTGACGTGATTTGTTTCTGTAGGATGCTTTATGGGGGGAATCATCATTGCTAGATACAAAGTCATTGGGGGGCACATTCACAATGATGCCATTGCGCACATCAGCCTCTTCCAGCGGCCTCGGAGTCCCATTGGTTGACCGTGGGGAGCTGTGGTGAACAGCTACAGGCAAAGCCACTTTCTCTAAAACTTGCTGCATGGTTCACTAGGAAGACATAATGGAATTCCCTGGCTTTGTTATCTTCTCCACCCACCGGCTAGCGTTCTGCACGGCTGTACTGCCGTTCCTTCAGCTGTAGAATAGCGAGCAGTTAGAATTGTCTCTCATGCAAGGTTACCACCCCTTTTTGAAAAAGGTTTGACATTTTGTTACAGGACATGGTGTAATTAGGCGTTTATTGCAGCATTTCTTTCATGCTGTGACACTATTCGCTATTGCAATTAATGTCCCATGAACGCATTATAAAAGTATTTACAGTGAGTACCATTAATGTACACATCAGAATATGACTTTAAAAATGCACTGCAAGAGCTTATGAACAAAGGCACTTACAATATTCTATGACATTTAATTCATCAGGGATTGTTTTTTACAGTTAGCAGCTAAATCATTTTGTGTAAGTGTAAATATACCTCTTTCCTTTTGGCTCACTATTGTTATTAGGTGAGTATTCCAGTTTTCCCCTACTTATCAAAAGCCTACGATCCAGGAAGAGAAATAAAAAATAAAAACCTTTTAAACATATGATGAATACTTCAGTCTCCAGTAACCTCAGTACCAACAAAAATGACAACTTTTGCTGTGAATTGTTGTTTATTTAATGACAGCCGTGTGTTTCAATCAGCATAATCACAGAGGGAATGACACAACATATTTAAATGTTGTTTTCCATCTGAAAAAGAAAAAGGTTAATTAACTACAAATCAGATTTTTTTACGACATTTTCAAAATTGATAGTGGGCCACATAATCGCCGGCTGAGATTAAAACAGAAATTTCTCGCGTGAGATCTTTACATGACAAAAACAATTTGGATTGCTTTCCCATTTGTGAATGTACTCAGCGGTGTCATGAAAAGGCGAGTTGAAGCTTCTTTAGCCGTTCAGTTATTCGTGACATCCCAAACACGACCCATGACAAGGCGAATTACCATCCTCCCACCCGCTGAAACCAAAAGTCAGCCTCTTGCAAACAAAGGACAGCCCTTTTAATCATGTCACACCGAGCAAACGGCGAGGACGCGCATCTGCACAAGCAAACAAGACAGTCGGCACACGGATGACACGAATGAACGAGCGGCGCGCTGGGAAACGGACAACATCGAGGTGAGTGAAAGCCATCGGCGAGCGTGATCGCTGGCGGGAGGAATCCTGTGTGGGATCCGGTTGGGGAGGAAGAGAGAGAAACGGGGATCTGGAGTCGTGTGTGATGAAAGATGAGCCGAGCCGAGCCCCCCCCCCTCGCGGGGCGCGAAAAAATCTGCCGGGAGTATTAATATGCCGGTGCTGCTTAAGCCGACGGCCCACGGTACGAAGGGTAACGTTTTAGATGGAGGGGCTTCATGAGACTAAACGCAGTGGGCACCAGAGAACGACCATCACATCATTACGATTGAACCTACAGCTTCACGAGAATGCTAGTACAGCAGTGTTTTTCCTGTTGTTGAACTAGTGTAATCCCGTGTGCATCACATGGAAAAGTCGAGGCGATGCTGGCTGATCATGGGAGTTTCATTAAAAATGCTGGCCTGGTTGTGTGAACCCTCCAACAGCAGAGCAGGAATTAGAAACTAAGCCAAAAAGACCTTGAACCACATCCAGTGAGAGAAGGGGAGTGTGTGTGAAAGTAAATCCTTGATCAATGCAAATGTCTCTGGGGCCCTTACGATTCCATGAATTTGGTGGAGAGTTGTTTGAAATTTTACTGAGAAATGTTTTGTTGAGGAATACTGCTTGAATGGCAGCAAGTCAGCTCAAACTGAAAGCGGGTCAAGGCACAAGGGAACCTTCCGAAATCAATCTCCATGAACTTCTGAGATCTATTCGCTCAAGTCCTTAATTACGACATTGACTTTTAAATAGAATGAAGAATGTTAAAGCCCCTTTGCGCACGATGTGAACTTTTGGACCCCAACAGGACCTGGTTGGTGCATTGGGATAAAAACACAAAACACTGTCAGGGTTTTCTTCCTAATTTGAATTGGCTTAAGCATGAAGCGAGACAGTATGCATACTTGGTCAAAGGATGGAAATATGGACGGAAAAATTGCGTAAAATAAAAAGAAATAAAGCTTTAAGAGAAAGAAAATAAGAGGAAAAGACAGCTATGACAGATCGAAATCCAAACCGAAATGAAATGTTGAAAACGCCCGCTAGTTCCCACTGGGATGGGCGTTGTTTACAGCTCACATATACATCTGGAATGGTCATACTCTTATGCACATCTGACTGAAGGTTTCACGTATGAGACCTAACATTTGGGACTAGAAGCGTCCCCTTTAATCACTCTGCGGTAGCTATGCATGCAAACAAATGACTGGGGAAGTGCTAGTCTCATGACAATATTCTGTATATGGATGGACAGAGGTGTATGATGTGTGAAACACTGCAGCTGAAAGGAGAGATCGTACTTCACGGCTGAATTTTCATGATAGAAAATGCTAAAAGCCATGATGCAGTGTGTCACTAAGGAGCCTCCGCTCGCCTCCTATGGAACGCAGCGCTGTGACAATCACGCAGGGACGACAATGGGCTTGGATGCACTTGCCAATGCCCATAGTCAACAACTTTACTACAATACAATGACAAAAGATTATCAAGGACAGCGCAAAAATGAAAGACTGGGCGTAAACGGTAGAGCAATGATGCAAAAACCGCTGCAAAAGCCGGAGATCTATTTGAGGGGAACGTGTCACATTAACAACTTCAAACTGTCTTCCGAGGACATGACGGACGGACAGCTACAAAGATCAATAACTAACACTAGAAAATGTCGGCTGGTTCATGAACACATTTCAAGTGTCGAAGACGATCAAATGTAGCCCTGAAAAGAAATCCTGAATCCAATTTTTGAACTGTGGTTTATGGGCTTTGGTGGAGAAGAGCATCAGCTGACTAATTATAGAACAGAGCCAAGAAGCTGTGATGTCATTGATCCGTCCATCCATCCAGCCATCATTGAATTATCCCACTGTTAATCTTTAAAGGCTATTTAAAGTTGTTAAATATAACACTATAGAATATATTCTGAAGTGCCTTGACGCAGATTGTAAAAACCTCTGAGGCAAGTTTGGGCTTTGCAAAAAATATTGGAATTGAATTGAATTCATCTGGGTAATGTAATAGTTTCTTTACCACTTAATAAAGAGGTATTTTTTCAATATGCATTTAAGGCTACCGGTCATTCCATGGTATTTCCACAGTAGTAAAGGCAATCTAGTAGGAAGTTGACCTCTTCTAAAACAGTGAATGCATAATAATATTTTGTAGTAATATTGTTACATTTTCCTGATTTTCACAGCGCTTAGCCATCTAAAATTCCCTCTGTACTGTGTGTGCCTAAAACGACAGCGATCCATGTTATTTCCATCTTTGTAAATAAGCAGCCCAGCAGCATTACCCGGCTGTCCCAGTGGTCTTGGTTGTCATGGAGGCTAACAACTCTCATTATGCTCAAACGCAAAAGATGAAACTACCCTCAGAGAGACACGACGCCAGAAGCAGAAGAGATCAATTGAGGTCACCATTTTCATGCCAATGGTCCACGGATTAGCCGATTGAAAAATAAATAATGGCAACGGTCTGAAGGAGCAGTTCATCAAGTGAGCTTCAACGTGCTCCTGTAAACGAGGCACGCAGGCTGACACAAAGAGGACAGGAAGAGAAAAGGAGGGCGGGAGCAGAACAATACAGGCAGTAATAAAACACTGATGGATTTACAAGAGTCCTCGCAAAATGATACGATTGTGTGTGTGTGTGTGTGACTGTAGTTTGCTTCATTGAAACGTGTGATGGATGGACAGCGTCTTTTGAAATGTATATATATTTATTGAATTCAATTAATTTTGTATAGTCCAAAATCAAAGGACTTGATTCCATTGTAATCTTGTATATTGTGGAATAGCAAACTACTCGGACATGACTTTGTTTTATCCCACCGTCTACTGCAGGGATATCTCCCCACTCGATGCTGGTTTCATGAGTTTCGCGTGGTGCCCACCTGTCTTCCCAGTGTTTTTCATGGTGGTCTGGTTGGAGGACTCAGCGTTGAACTTGTCGAGCACAAGCTGCTGGTACTCCTCCGAAACCGGAGCTTGTTCATCGGAGATGTCCACAGGTGATTGGTTCCTCGCAGCGCATTCTGGGTAGGAGGCAGCCCAGCTCTGAGGTCCATGGCTTCCTGCAGAAATAAAAGAAGCAAACGCTTATGAAAAATGCACATCAGAATTCCCCTTTGTCTAAAGATTCAAGCTTATAAACACACAAAATTAGAACCACTGGGACATGATTACTGCTACAGCAGCGGCAAGGTTTCAATACGCCGGTAACGGAAATTGAAAGAAAGAGACGACAATGATTGTTTTATATTTATTCAGCTGCAATGACCTCTAAACCCCCCCAACAGCCGGCAAAACGTGTAAACACAATGAAGATTCATTGTGTGGCTACAGGCAATTCCAGCGTTAATTGTCCATAATATGATATAAAAATGAGGCAGATTTTTCAGTGATACACAGACTAAACCCGAGCAGAGTTAATGTGGGTCTATTGTTCGGATGTATATATATAAAAATAAAAACACCAAATAGGCTATTCAATTGAAAACACTCCAATTTAACAATGAATTTGCAGTGTGAGCTGCAAACGGACTTCCTGTAGAATCCCCATCCACTGTCTGCTCTTTTAATCCTCTATCTCCCACAGTGGGGCTTCTACAAAGGAATAATCCACAGCCGACAGGGGTCCCCTTGATCTCTTCTCGGGTACAATGGGCCAACGCAACAACAAAAGCTGAGGGATCAGGGGAACAAGGAAGCATGCGTGGATTTGAACTTTTCTGGGTTAACGCAATATTCAGGATCCCTTTCTTTACAGATACATGGCAACTTTGTTCCTGGCTCATTTCAAAAGATATGAGAACCCCTCTTGACTTAAACACAGCAGATAAAGGCCGGCTTTACGTCTTGTAATGTATAAACACCTCGCAGCTCAAGACACTTTGCTGGAGACCCTGGAAAAAGATCGGCACCAATCAGGATTATTTTGAAAATATATGTAATAGAACATTTTAGGACGTGAGTCTGTGAGCGAACATTAAAACATGCGTCGCTGGCAGTGAAGACACATAAACAGGAAACATTTCATTAGTCTCTCCATTGAACGTGTCACTACATTAGGCAAAGGCTGCACTAAACACTGTTAAGCGCTGGGAAATGTCTGAGATTTGTCCAGTGACAGTGAAATCAACATCAATTGTCATCTGAACGCCGCCCACAAGATTGTTGGCTCGCAAAGTCTGGATTGCAATTGAATGTTGGAATGAGCTGCGTTTCCAACCAATGGCTGCATAAGCCGGGAGGATTAGAGTTGTCAGTCTTGGCTTCCGTCTTACCAATATGTCTGTTCCAGTGCTACTCTTAATATTTGACATCCTTAAAAGAGCCCATTAGGAATGCAATGGTATTATTAAAAGGCAAGATAAAAACTGCTTGCCGATCATACAAAGAAGATGCTATATGAATGTAGTGTCCTAACCTAAAGTTGTCAGAAGCTCGATTAAACTCAAATTAAGTGCACAAAACAATACATTGATTAAAGGTTAAAGCTTTGTGAAGCAATATATTTGTATATCACCACTAAAGCAAATGACTCCCTGTAATTCAAAAACCGACAAGGCCAATCTGACTGAGAATCGACCACACGATCGATACAGGCAGAGATGGAGAAAAAAGTTGGACATCTAGACGGCTAAAAAGCCTTAAATTGATAGCAAAATCAGTAAAACCCAAACAAAGGGGTCGGGAATAGGACATCAGTGGGGTTCTCATGCTGCAGTGTCTGTTGAATGTGAAACATTCAATAATAAATACATTTCATTCCTCATGTTCTATTCCACAACGTATCGATACGCATTCATTCACTCTGGCACTAATCCACAGAAGTGCAGTGGAATGAAGGTCTGTGTCTGAAGCTACAGCACCAAATCAAGGCTGATCTATGGCAGATTTGAAGTTTGCCAATATATTGGTATCAATGTATACGTGTTTGCCAAAGAGTGACAGGGAACTGAAAGACAGAAATGTGAAAGTAGGTTGGAGTTATCCTGATTGTCCAAACCGACAATATTTTTAAACTGCTAAAGTTCCATATTGGTATAAAAAATGCAGCATCTGTCAGACTGTAAAATGTTTTGATCAATGATGGCTGCATTAGTTCACTTGTAAACACAACCAGTTGAACTAGTTTTCAGTGTGTGTCTAAATTTTTCTAGGACAAAAAAAATTGAGCTCAGACAGCGTAGGGATGGTTGTATATTCATGTAGTACACACTTGAGAAGGTTATGCAATTGGTTATGACTGACTTACTTCCATCCCATTTGTGTTCTCAGAAAATATGTATCCTCCTTGGCAGAGCTGTTTGAAGCACCATGCTCTCTGTTGCTTTGAATATTTACCATTCCCATCACAGACAAAGTACGTTATGTGGGCTACCAGCAATACAAAAAACACAGAACTATTCAGGTTCAATATCAACGCACAAGTCTTGGATTCCTCCTTTCTCCTCCAAATATTACAAGTTACAAAATAACATTTTCAGAGACATAGAGCTCATAAACTGTGACTGACGTGCCTTAAAATAACATTAAATTGCACCGGTCAGTAGTGTTCGAACGGGTTTGGTGTTGACTGAGAACATTAAAAGGACGTTATAAGAAAAGATTTGGTACCCAAACACAAGGGTAAGATAGGAATAAAGGTCTTTAACGTGTCAATATTGTATTACATCAGAACCGTGGGTCGTAATAAGTTAAGTGTACTGAACCCACTAAAATGTTTCACAGGCCACTTTTATTCAAAGTGTAACTCGAGAAAAGTGTAATCTTTTTGCTAATTTTCCATTAAAAAACACATTACATCCCATTTACAGCCAGCGAGATAATTCTGCCTTTTCAAGAGCAAAAAGGGAGGAGCAGTGTTAGAATCAGATAAGTGCGGGTTGCACAGCAGTCGATCAATCGGTCTCATTGCCGACCATCAGACAGGCTATAATCCCCATAGTTAGGCCTTTCCAACTGCGTCTGGCCGAGGTGAGCACATCTCAAAAAGGTACATGTTTAATAACACTGTAGAATGATTTATCTAAAACATCGGGGGCCACATTTGCGACTACATTCGGCACGCGACTGCGAGTGAAGCGCTCGCACACAAGCTGGGCTGCGCGACACACTTATTCTAATGGAAATCTTTAAATGGGCCATCAGGTAGTTCATGCTGTACGCTGAGTGTTTTATATACTCATGATGGACAAAGACCAGGGTGTTCCACTGATGTTACAGCTCACCTTGTGGGAATATAGATTAAGGACAAAGGGCCTCACTCTGCATTACGCGGCGTCCTTGAAAGAGTCGCACAGTGTTGCGTTACGTACAGACAAAACGTTTACCGCGCCGAACAATGTTATAGGCTTAAAATGACCTGAAGGAAATGCGGAAAAATGTGGCGGCAGCAGCTGCACGGCAAGCATACGGCCCGCTGAAACACAACAAAACCTTTGACCTTTCATGCGTTGGGATCCCTTCCAGCACAGGAACACTCAACAGCAAAACATCAATATTGTCAATGATTCAACATGACTCATTTTTAGGTACATTTCGGAAATACGCCAGCACTAAGAAAGGCGATGTCTGAACAGGGGCCGGTTTGTGCGCTCGCTCGTGTGTGACGGGGATGCCACTCTTGTTTTAAGTAAAACAGGCACATGTTTCTCTCAATCTGGCACATTCAGTTACAGGCGTCATCCCATTAACCTTGGGATAAACAGCCGTGCCTGCGCTACCATGGCAATGCTGACAGAATGGCAATTGCCTTGTCATTTCCGTTTTGTCCCTCTGAGAGAAAGCATCCAGGCTGCGTGCCGCCTGGCAGACCTTCCACAATTGGCACAGTGGCACTTGCAGAAATCCACGTCGATCACTCCATATGTGTGAGTGGCACCGATGACATAACGCCGTATAAAACAGCGTATGAAAACACAGCGTGGGCAGCAGGGAAAAATGGGGTTCCAGATAGTTGTCGCTGCTGCAGGCGCTGCGACGCGAGTTCAAAACCTTGTGTAGGCTTAAGAAATCCCCTTCGCAGGAGCATCGGAGCGGCGTTGTACAACAACATACCTGCTGTTAGGTTCAACGCGCTGCTAACGCTCCAGATGGTGGAGACACAGGCCTCGTTGCCGAGGTATCAAGGGTCCAGGTTAGGAGGCTGATGAGCTGAGGGCTTGTAGCGTGTGGGGGGAAAAAGGCCAGGAGAACTCACGCAGAGTCCGTAATCAACTCAACTGACGGCCAGATAACGACAGATTTACTTTTTAATGAAATCACCACACTTAAAAAGGAAATGCTGGGAATTTGGAGCGCTGCAACATCGAATCAGAAGAATACGAGGTCAGGTGATCACACCTAAATTTATCTTGAAGCAGAAACTAAAAGATGAACTAAACATTATGTCCTAAGATACTAACACAGCCCAACTCGCCGGTTCAACATTGCAACATCGTCATCGTGAGCTCAATTTGGCCAATAAAGTCATATCAATATGGTGACGCTTATTTACAACCTGCATGATCATTTGACTGCTCACATTTGTTTCCGTGGCGGAATTATGTTTCCTGATCCCGATGGCTGATGGTATGAAAAAGAAACCTATGAATTTGAATCCATTCTGTCGAGCGGGGAACACTCCTAACAGTATATATGGCAAACATGGACGTTTTGCTGCCGCGTATATTTCAATACATTTTTTATCTCAATTTTGTCTGATTGACACCGAGATATTTCTGTCCGGACCAAAGTGTTGGGCCAAACGGAAATTGCTTTCCTTATAGTCGTGACGCTGGCTCGGCAGGTCTTTGTCTCTTTTTCTTAGATAAGCAAGTCATTCATAAGCATTGAGCCTCAAAGATACCCTTTTCCATTACTCGGATATCACCGATACATATTCCTACATCTATCCACGGAGGTGTAGACTAATTTAATAGTTTTTTTTTTTTACAAGGCGTGGGGGCCTTAAATGGATACGTGGAGGGCATTCAGAATGAACTCGGCGGCGTGCCGCTAACACGGGCAGGCGGCCGACCCGTCTACTGTAAACTCCGATAACAGAGCTCCTTTTTGCACTGAACAA